GTTGAGCTCTACATACTCCTGGAAGAGCATTTGAGCTTCCACCGGAGGTATACTGGTCTTCTTATAATCAAAAAGAAATTCAATGGATAGGTCTTTGAGGAGCCAAAATGGAATCATAGGAGGATTTAGAGTAACTTCAGTGCGCCTAATGTTTAGCAGTTGATGAGCTTGCTCAAGGCACCCGGGTAGAAAGCACGATCTACGCAGTGGGCGTCGGGTTCTTGGTTTCCTCGCCTCCATTGCTGGTACCGCAATGTGATTTCGAACACTTTTTGCTCTGTAGTAATAGCGGAGGAAAAGAAAGACGCGTCGGTCATCAAGTGCTGGAATGCCGGTATCTGCACGAAGCGCAAGAACTGGCGATGTGCGAAAAGCCCCAGTTAGAAGTCTCAAGCACGTTGATTGAACGGCTTCTAGACGTTTGCATAAACTGGGCGACAGTGTGCTAAACAGATAACAATTGTACTCAATCGTAGATCTGATTAGCCCAATATACAACATTTGCAATGTTTTCCTGTCCGCACCCCAAGAAAACCCACATATGCATCTTAGGACATTGATTCGTTTAATACAACGTGCTCTTAGGTGCTCAACGTGTTGACGGAAGGTTAGATTAGTATCCAAAATGATCCCTAGAAATTTGTGTGACGTGGAAAAAGGTATTTTAATCCCATCGATGTGTGGGGATCTTTCAAGCGATGGACGGGGTCCACGTTTGAAGACCATCATGACTGATTTTGGTGCTGACAAAAAGAATCCCCATTTTGTGCACCATTTAACGCAGTGATCAACCACTGTTTGCAATATAGAATAAGCCTGTTTGTAGTTTTTGTGGGATACCCATATTGCTATATCATCAGCAAAAAGCGAATAGCGGACAGAAAATGTTAGAACACGTGGCAGGAGTAGGAGCATATCGTTCAGGGCAATCAAGAACAGCGTAGGTGACAGCACGCTGCCTTGAGGGACGCCATGTTCCATTACAAAGTCGTCAGAAAGTGTCGCTTGGCAACGAACTTTGAAAGTTCGGGGTTTTAGGAAATTTTGAAGAAACGCAGCCAAATGGCCTCTGATTCCGATTGAGTGCAGCTTATAAATTATCGTCGAACTGTGTACCTTGTTGAAGGCTGACATTAGATCTAGGAAAATAGCAACAGTCGGTCGCCTATGTTCCCAGTTTACCTGGATGTCCGAGATAAGGCGAATGATATTGTCTGCCGTACTACGATTTTTCTGAAAACCGCTTTGACATATATCAATGCAATGGTTGCTCTCAAGGTAAAATCGCAGGCGCCTGTTTACCATTCTTTCGAAAATCTTGGAGACACAATTGGTTAGTGAGATTGGGCGATACGAATTTGCGTCGTGCTGGTCTTTGCCGGGTTTGAGGATAGGTATGATTATACTTTTAAGCCATTCATCCGGGAAGTTGTCCTCAGTCCATAGTTTGTTGAATGCTATCAGTAGTGTGGAAAGGTTAAGTTCGTTCAATTTTGTGAAAAAAGAATATGGAATGGAGTCTGGTCCTACCGAAGTTTTAGTGCTTGCCTTTGCTAGGGATAGTTTAAGTTCTCTTAGGGTAAAAGGAGCATTGTATGGTTCAGAGTTTGCAGAAGAAAAATCAAGATTTACTGTTCTATTAACGAGAGCTCGATGCACGCTCAAGGAGTAAATATCTGTAGACGATGTGTTGGCAAAGTGTTGGGCAAATATATTTGTGACGGTAACTGGGTCAGTTACGAATATATTGTTTGAAAGCAATTGCGGAAAGGCACCTAAATTAGTTCGTCGTGAGGCGAAAGCACGAACATGACTCCAGAGTTCGCTGAGCGGGGTAAAACGATTACATTTAGCGGCATAGTTTTGCCATGCCGCCTTCTTTTCTTTGTATATAGTTTCCGCACATTCTTTACGGGCAGCGGTATACAGTTGGGCATGTCTGGGACATATGCATCTCTGGAAGTTTCTGAAGGCTCTTTTTCTTATTGCTTTGGCTCTTTGGCATTTCCAGTTCCACCAGACAAGATTTTTAGATTCATTTGCAGTTCCAATCTTAATAGTTTTTTCTTTTAGCGTTTCACTGGCCGATTTCTTCATAGCCCCCATAAAATTGGAAATGGTCTGAGACAGGCCGTAGGGAGCATGTCTGTTGACCTTTGCGTTAAAGCCCGACCAATCCGCGTTATTTGTTTGCCATACCTTCAGTGTCGGTGCTGGTGACAGCGTGGTTGCACTGGTAAGCATGATGTGAATTGGATAATGGTCTGAAAACAGCGGATCCGATGTTACGGTCCATCTAAAGAGCGGTGCGATCCTCGGGGAAGAAATTGACAAGTCAATTGCAGAGGTTGTGTGGTAGCTACTACTGACAAACGTTGGGTTGCCGTCGTTCATAGCTACAAGGGACTGGCGGTTTAGTGCAGCTTCAATTATCCTGCCTCTCGGCGATAAGTGTCGGCTGCCCCATAGTGGACTATGACCATTGAAATCGCCGAGCAGAAGGCAATTTTCTGGCATTTGCTCTAGAAGGTCATTCAGATTTTGCTGGTTTACAACAGTTGCATTTGGCGGCAAATACACTGAAACAACCAACAACTCGCGGTTTAGTAGTGAAACAGTAGCTGCTACAACATTTAGCGGGGAAGCTATGTTTGTTTTCCGTTGTGACACTGAGTTTGCTACATAAAGAGCTACGCCACCCTGTCTATTTGCTAGATTTATGTCCTGTCTGTACAAAGTATATCCAGCCACATTGTAATTGTAATGATCTGTGCTTTTAAAATGAGTTTCCTGAATCGCCGCTAGAAGAGGAGCTTCCTTTTGTATATACTGTTTAAATTCAGACAAATGGGATAGAAGTCCTCCTACATTCCATTGAAGCAAAAAATCCATTGCAGCAGCTATCTAGTTTGTTTGGCGCGCTATTCTGGGATGAAGGATCGTCTGGTCACGACCTGGGTACGAAGGCCCACATTTTTCCTCTCCTTTGTTGAGCGTGCTCGGAGGCGAGTTTTGGGGCCTTCTGCATGGAGGGTGAGCTGAGTGTCGGAATCGCTGTCATCAATGACTGATGGCGATCGCAGGACGGAAGACACGGCGACCATTTTGGGGGTCTCCTCGTCCTCGCTCGTCGTATTGGCATCATAGCATGTGTCGTCGTCGGAATCTGTAGCCCTTGTCCGGTGGAGTGGTGTAACTACGGAGACGCCAGTTGGGTTGCTGGGGGACATTTCACAGGTGCCTGGTGTTTGGGCCTGGTGTCGTGTCCCACCACTTTTGTGCGGGCCTGTTTCTCGCTGATCAACCACGGTGGGAGAGTCAGGGTGGACTGTCTTGGGTGTCGGTGTCGACCGGGCGCAGCCTACATCGATAGACCGAGCGAGTTCCGGCGTCGCGGCCGTGCGCTTCCGAGCATGGGTGCTTGGGTGGTCTGGCGGGCTCGTGTCTTTGCGGGCTGGTGGCGTCAGCTTTGCGTGACGTGCGACATGGGGCAGATCCCGAGGGGGTGGGAGCTCTGGCCAGTCCTGTGGGCGGTTTGCAGCCTGGGATATCTGAGCCTGTGTTTGTCCCACATGGCGCGGGACTCCCTCGTGGTGGGAGGTGCTGGGCTGGGTCATGGGGGGTGACCCACCGTGGGTGCCAGCCACGTGTCCAGATCTGCGTTGTGTGGCCTCGCGGAGCTCCTGCACCTTTGCAACCCACACGGGACAGTTCTTGTCAGTCACTGGGTGCGGTCCATTGCATGCAGCACAGTGGGGAGGGGCGACACATCCTGTAGACGGATGCTCCTCTGAGCAACGTTTGCATATTTCAGCACGAGACCTACATGTGCCTTGTCCGTGTCCATAACGCTGGCACTTGCCACAGCGCCGAGGCAGCTGGTGAGATGGCCTGACTTCATAGCGCATGTACACTGCATAAAGGTGTTCAGGCAGCTGTGTGGCCGAAAACCTCACCTTGAGCAGTGGGTTCGGTCTGGAATTTTTTGAAGGGAGGCGTGTGACACTTGTGACACCCTGGTCACGGCTTTCCTCAAGTATGGTTTGAGGAGACTCCATTGAGAGCTCAGGGGCATAGACCATCCCCTCCACCTGGTTTAGGCGGTCTGCTGGAATCACAGAGATGTCCTCCCCCCTGAATGACCTCCAGGCTAGCAGAGCCTCGGTCTGGTACATGTCCCTCGTTTTGACAAGCAGAGAGCCGCTTCGAAGTGCAGAAACCTTAGCAGCTGCATAATGGATCACGTCCAGGAGCTCATCTCGAATTTTGTAAGGGCTGAAGTTCCGAAAGCTTTGGTTTTTTTCCTTAAATCTCACGAGGAGGTAAGCAGGTCCAGTGGGAAGGAACTGACCTTCGTCAGTAGCGGTAACCGCCTTGGAGAACATGGCTGGCATAGCTGGAGAGAACGACACCAAAAAGCGAGATAATCTTGTGAGGAAATTACAAGTCTTGCCAAAGAGTAGTCAACAAAAAATGAAGACGTGAAGAGGAGGGAAAGCAGACTCACCGTGGAATCTTGCTTTAATAGTGGGAAGCCGCTCGGGCAGAGTGAGACGAATGAGACGAAAAGCTGTCGAGACTAAATCCACCAGAATTCAATTTCACGCAAAGACAAGGCTATTTTTGATAAAAAAAAGAAATGCTGAACAGGACGGGAACAGAATATCCCGTAAAAAACACCCTAGCACTTAAGGGAAACTGCAAAAAGTCTACTAATCTATAAAACCACGCGAACCACGCCGTCAACGAGACCAAGGGTGAGTGTAGAATGCGTATACCAGCGCAGATGATTCAAAATATTTTGTTCATTTGTAGATATTACAGTTCACTTGTAATTTCATCTAGTAATTGCTATGGCAACCAAAGCTTTTGGGATGGTGATAGCAGCTTTCATTGGCCTATTCAGCATTATGAATTCATTTACGAACAGATGACCATGGACTTTATATTTGAGCGTGCTCATGGTAAGCCCGTATTCTTTGCTCTATTTTTATTCGACCTAGTGCGATAAAATAGCTGTTGCTTCCAGGGTAGGTATGTATAGAACAACAGAACAATGTTGCTTCTTGGCTGCTTCAACCTTTCGGGATTCAAGGCATTATAGTTCTCTATGTACCGTGGCATCATAATTCATTTCAACATCAGGCTATCATAATGTGAGTGAGTGCTGGTATCTGGTGTTGGTGGTGTGGTTAGATACCTATTACCCAGGGCAAATGCGATAAATGCCATTTATTTTTTCAGTTTTAACATTGGCCTGCCTCTTGTTTATAATAATTGGTAATATTGACCTGAGCCCCTTTTTACAGCAGGCTATTACAGGGCTATCACACTCGGTTTTCATGGAAACATCAGGCTTCTTAATGTGCGTCCAAGTTTGTTGAGATCAGGGCTGCGGAGTCGATGGATTTTCGGCGACTCCGACTCCGACTCCGACTCCGGCTTTCAAAAACCAGCTCCGACTCCGACTCCGACTCCGGGCAGAATTGTCGACTCCGACCGACTCCAACTCCCGACTCCGACTCCGTAGACCTAGCAGTGCTGCGGAGTCGACAGATTTTCGGTGACTCCGACTCCGACTCCGGCTCAGGTTTCTAAAATCGACTCCGACTCTGACTCCGACTCCGGTCACAACTGTCGACTCCGACCGACTCCGACTCCGACTCCGCAGCCCTGGTTGAGATTTACCTTGGTCCCTAGTACCTACTCCAGAAGTATAATAGCACGAAAAGCCTGAGGAGTCGCCTTGCAGTGCAGTGTGCCTCTGAAGCAGGGCATAGATTGGACATTATGTGTTGACATTTTTTAAAGACATAAATTAAGCACAGGCAACAAAGTTTTTATGGTCACTTTTAAGTTTTACACCTTCAAATTAATGGTATTTTATTAAACTCTTATTCTTATCATTTATACCTATAATACCTTATCAATAAAATCCATGTTTTGATTTTTGTGTGTTTCTAGGACAAACCTGGGAGATGAAAGATGAGCTGTGGAAAGTTAATTGTTGTCAACATTCAAAAGGACATATCTGAAGTTGCAGCAATGCCAAAAATGAATTAAACCCCTCTCCTCTATGAAGTTGATGCACAAATGTCTGATTTATTATACCTATGTTCATTATTAAATGCTTCAACAATAGTTGTTCCAACAATAGTTTAATTACATATGGCTTTGATAGTATGGAGTCATAACAGATAAAATTCAAGCTCATCAAATGAAATATAAATGCTTCAAATTTGTGCAGAAACTAAATTATATAGTAATTATAAATTATCCTGTTATATAATATTATTTCATGCTTATTCATTGTTCCCATGAACTCTAACTGTCCCCACGTCCCCCGTGGCCCCGCAGCGCCATGGTGCCGCCGTCGGGGCTGCCGCTGGCCGCCTGCCTGGTGAACGTCTCCAGCGGTCGCCGGCCGGGCGCCGTGGCGCGGCTGGCGGCCGCTCCGCTGCGAGCCGCCGCCGGCTCGCCGCTGTGGGAGGGCGCGGCGGCGCGCCGGCTGACGGAGCGGGCCGGCCTGCGCGCGCCCGTCACCGTGCTGAGCGTGTTCTCGGACACCGACTACGACCGGACCGTGTACACGGTGGCCGGCCCGCTGGCCACGCTCGGTAGGTCGGGGCGACACGGGGATCCCCGGATCGTTCAACTACTCTTGTTACGGATGGTACACCGGGCATCCGCCACTTTTTCCGTTTTGTGATAATAAGCGTCTAATAACTTATCAGCTAGACATTCTAGACAACCATGTTGTTTCATTCTGCTGTTTTCATTTCGATTCCAGTGTTTCTTCTGTTTACATTCATTGTTTCACTTCACCCACCCATTCGCCTACACTGCTGTCCCTCCCACTCCGCTCACCCCGCTGCCTTTTCCGCAGGCGCCGGCGTGCTGTCGCTCTGCCGCGAGGCCTGTGAGCTGGTGGACCTGCGGCACCACGCCGGCAACCACCCGTGTCTGGGCGTCGTGGACCTGGTGCCCTTCCACCCGCTGAGCGAGGACGTCACACTGGAGGACTGCGCCCGGCTGGCCCGTGGTGAGCGGAGGGATAGGACCGGCTGGGCTGCACTGAGGGCCGGTCTCTTAGTGTGTAAAGCGGCAGCAGTTAGACCGGTATTTCTGTTCCTAACGGATGTTTCTGTTTATGAGAGCACTTGGAGTAGCTGACTGCCCTGGTTCGGGCTGGTTGCTGTCTGTGTCTGTGACAGTGTTTGTGAAATTGGTTGTGACAGTATTTGTGTTTGTAAAAGTGTGTTTGTTCCAGCGGTCGGTGATCAACTGACTGCCCTGGTGCCCGGTACGGTCTGTCTGTTTGTGACAGTGTTTCTGTTTGTTCCAGCGGTCGGTGACCAGCTGACCGCCCTGGTGCCCGGCACGTCCTGTTTCTGGTTCGGCGAGGCGGACCCTCTCCGCCGCTCGCTGCCGCTCCGCCGCAGACAGGTGGGCTGGTTCCAGCGGCGGCCAGTCACCGAGGAGATCGACAGAGGGACGCCCGACCCGCGGCTGGGGGTCACAGGTCAGCGGGGGGGGGGCTCTACCCGACCCGCGGCTGGGCTGACTGGGGTCTCCCGTTTAGTTGAGGGGGAGGGGGGGGTGTCTCAACAAGCGAGCTCAACCTGTCAGCGGTGAGGCTCCGAGTTCAATAAAATGATCATGAAATGTCAATGACCCCAATTGGCTTTATCAATCAGTTCACTACTACAAATAATGTGTCTTTCGGAGGCACGTATGTATGGAGTTTCTTTGCCTGTGTGTATATTGTGTAGGCATGTCATGGCTAGCTGTCGACCGTCCATGTGATCAATCCATGACGTCGATCTTGTATTGCCGTGGTTTGTGTATTTCCACTATAACCTGTCTGTGACCTGATGTGTGCCGTTTCCCGCCAGGAATTGGCGCCATCAATTTGTGTTAATCCGCTGTTTGTATGGGCCCTGAAGTGCGTTGTTTCCCGCCAGGAATTGGCGCAATTAGTGCGTGTTGATTCGCTCTCTGTATTTCTCCTGATGCGCGTCATTTCCCACCAGGAATTGGCGCCATTCCGTACATGACCAACTACAACGTTACGCTGGACACTGACGACCTGTCGGTGGGCAGGGAGGTGGCTGCCGAACTGAGGGCCACCGCGCCCCGAGGGATGCCAGGTGAGGGACAGCGAGGGCCGGACGGAGGGCCGACACACTAGGAGGGATGCCAGGTGAGGGACAGGGAGGGACGGACGGAGGGCCGCCACACTAGGAGGGATGCCAGGTGAGGGACAGGGAGGGACGGAGGGCCGCAGCGCCCGGAGGGAGGCCAGGTGAGGGACAGGGAGGGACGGACGGAGGGCCGCCACATTAGGAGGGTGGCCAGGTGAGGGACAGCGAGGGACGGAGGGCCTCAGCGCCCGGAGGGATGCCAGGTGAGGGACAGGGAGGGACGGAGGGCCGTAACACTAGGAGGGAGGCCAGGGGAGGGACAGGGGAGGGACGGAGGGCCACCGCGCCCGGCGGGATGCCAGGTGAGGGACAGGGGAGGGACGGAGGGCCGCCACACTAGGAGGGATGTCAGGTGAGGGACAGCGAGGGCCAGAGGCAGGTGAGGGACAGGGAGGGACGGAGGGCCGCCACGCCCAGAGGGATGCCAGGTGAGGGACAGAGAGGGACGGAGGGCCCCACACTAGGAGGGTGACCAGGTGAGGGACAGGGAGGGACGGAGGGCCACAGCGCCCGGCGGGATGCCAGGTGAGGGACAAGGGAGGGACGGAGGGCCGCCACACTAGGGGGATGCCAGGTGAGGGACAGGGAGGGACGGAGGGCCGCCGCGCCCAGAGGGATGCCAGATGAGGGACAGAGAGGGACGGAGGGCCGCCGCGCCCGGAGGGATGCCAGTTGAGGGTCAGGGAGGGACGGAGGGCCCCAGCGCCCGGCGGGATGCCAGGTGAGGGACAGGCAGGGCCGGAGGGCCGCCGCGCCCGGAGGGATGCCAGGGGAGGGACAGAGGGACAGCTGAGGGACGAACTACAATTCCTCAGTTGTTTTATGTTTGGTGCCTAAGTCACTCAAGAGGTACTGATTTACTCAATTGAACGCCACTGGGTCTGACCGCCCACCTTCCTTCCCCTCCGAACCAGGTGTTCAGGCGATGGCGTTCGCCCACCAGGGCCGGGTCGAGGTCGCCTGTAACCTGGACACCCTGCCCTCCGGCGGCCCGGAGCCGACGGCCGTGGAGGCGCGCGTCCGTCAGCTGACGGCGGCGCGCGGCGCTCAGCTGACCCCCGACTCGCGGGTAGTGGGGTTCACCCGCGCGGGAGCCGCGCGCGCCGCCTGGGAGGCGCTCAGTAGCGGGGACGGCGAGGCCTGGAGGGGGCGGGGCGGGGCGCACATGTGAGCGGTGTGAGGCGCAGTGGAGGTAACCCGAGGGACGGGGTACGGGACTCAGACTGTGGCTGTGGAGTAGTTGTTACTGTTCGTTGAACAGGGAGTAGTGGGAAGTGCTATATATATATATATATATATATATATATATATATATATATATATATATATATATATATATATATATATATATATATATATATATATATATATATATATATATATATATATATATATATATATATATATATATATATATATATATATATATATATATATATATATATATATATATATATATATATATATATATATATATATATATATATATATATATATATATATATATATATATATATATATATATATAACTTTGGCTGTGCGGTGTGTGTGGCTACGAGCCACACTGTAACCGGCTGTGTTAGTGAGCCGACTTGGCGTTTTAGCGGTGCGTTGGCGGGTATTATAGCTGATATGACGGGGTATTATAACAGTGCAATACGGGGATTTACACATATATTGGTTAGGTGGTATATAACAATATACACTTATTCAGTGATGGGTTCAGTAGAGTGCAATATGCTACGATGATGCCGATTTTGTTGGCATCAACCGTTTCGGGGACGCCTTATATCGGTGTTTTTATACCAAACATTTTGCATTGGTTAAGTATCTATTATTGCTAGTGTTATGCGGTGTGCTTATGAATATAGGTACTTGTAACGATTTCTGAATGCCACAGATTTCGCTTGTCGGATTTGAACACTTTTGGACCATTTGTATTTCGGGCTCTTTCCTTCAGAGGTGTCTTGTGGAATACCCTGGCGTATGTCGACTTTAAAAATCAATGAAACTTACTTACCTTCTCAGCTCTAAATTAGTCGAGGTGTGCTGCTTTTTAAAAACATGTAACAAATTATTGTAAAAAAGTCAAATTTCAGTGCAGCATCACCGTTAAATTTACGTAGACATTTGCGCCGGCCAAAATGTTCGCATTTTCTTTGATAATCTACGACATTGATTCACTCTTTAATAAGGAATAAGTGGTATGTTATCTTAAAAATGCCATGTAAATAGAGGGTCGCTCATTTTGTTACTTTTTATTATCGTTTGCTTTGAATCAAAATGGCAGCTGAAAGCGAGGATAGTCCAAACGAATCGGCCTCAAAACCAACAATATCCTCATCGAAACCGGACGCCTCCAATGGAAACGCCGCCAAACCGGAAGAGGATAAATCTGCTGTTCCGGCGGCCGAAAACCCCACTGACCCATCCAGCCCTGACGGCGTGGGGGATGGTACTGCGGTGGTGAGCAAGGCGTCCGTTCAGCAGACACCCTCACAGTCGGGCCCAGCCCCGCCGGCCGACCCGCCGGCTCCGGCTGACACCGCCCCGGAGCCGGAGCCGCAGCCGGAGCCCGCGGAGCCGCCGCCGGAGCCGGCCGCCGTCCCGCGGGTGGGGTCGGCGGCGGCGGCGCGGGGCTCGGCGTCGCGCGGCGGCGGGTCGGCCGCCGACCTGCCGTCGGGCCTCTCCGAGCGGCTGTCGTCGCTGAGCGCCGCTGCCGGCGCCAGTCTGAAAGATATGATGGCCCGGAGCAGTGTCACAGGCTCCGGCTCTGGCGCGGTGAAGGCAGGGGACTCGGGAGCCACCCGGCCGGCGCCAGACCCCGCCGAGCCTCCCGCACAGGACAGCACGACTAAGAGCGAGACCAGCGAGTCGACAGAGACTGCTGTAAAGGAGGAGCCGGTGGTGAAACAGGAGCCTCTGGACTCCTCGGGAGCCGGTTCAGCGGAGCCGGCTACCGGACAGGCTCCCGGCGTCACTCTCAACACCCAGGAGTCGGGAGTGTTCACTCCGACAGCTGCGCCGCCCTCCCCGGAGCGGGAGCAGCGGGAGGGCGCAGCGTCCGCCCCGCCGCGCGGCACACAGTCGGCGGCCAGTCGCGGAGTGAAGATAGTGAAGGACGAGTCGGCGCCCACCGACCGGCGCTCCTCCTCGTACCTCTACAACGACTGGGACCGCACCCTGTATGAGAAGACGGGCCGGCCGCCGCCCGGCGAGGCGCACTGGTCGCGCGACAAGAGCGCGCACAGCGACCGCAGCCCGGCCCGCGCCGGCGGCGCCGAGTCGTGCTCTCACTCGCGGGGCTCTGCGCAGCCGGCGGCACGCTCGGCGTCTGCCCGCCGCCGGCCGCGCAGCCGCCGCCGGCCGGTCACCTCGCCCGGCGGCCGGCGCGCGTTCGACATGGCGCGCTGCCAGCGGGAGACGCAGGACCAGTTCGGTAGGAGGATCGTCTACCGGCACTGCTTCATCGAGCCGGAGTTCACGCTGCGCGGCCAGAGGATCCCGGTACACGGCGCCCGGAAGGGCAGCATCGTCAACGCTGAGGATACGTACGCCGCCTTCGCGCTGGAGCTGGTCACGCCTCCCTCCGAGGGACAGCTCTCCGCTGAGAAGGTGCAGCGGCGCGCGCGCCTCAAGAAGAGACGCCGCAAGAAGAGGAGGCGCTCACCGGGCGGTAAGAGCCTGCTGCGGGAGCGGGCGCTGATCGAGGAGCAGAGACAGCGTCTGGAGGAGGAGGGCGAGAAACTGGAGGAGGACCGGATCCGGCTGGAGGGGACGCGCCGCCACCTGGAGCAGCTGGAGGAGTGGTGGGTGACAGAGGGACTCCAGATCCTCCAGCGCAACGAACTCCGCGAGCAGGAGGAGAAAATCATCAATGCCGTGATCGAGGAGGAGTGTCAGCGGATCCGGGAAGAGAGGAGGAGACTCCAGGAGGAGTGGCAGTTCCTGGTGGAGCGTGTCGAGCGTCAGGAGAAGGAGGAGCGGAGGGTTCAGGAGGCGCTCCAGGAGCTGGACGAACGACAGGAGGAGCTGGCGCAGCACGAACGGGCCGGGATGCGGCGCATCCACGAGATGAAGGCCGTGTTCGACATCGAGCGGCGCATGATGGAGGTGGATAGGAAGAAGCTGATGGAGGAGGCGCTGACGTCGGAGGCGTTCCGCGACGCCCTGGAGGACGCCGAGCTCGGCTGCTGGGAGTCGCTCTCGGAGGACGGCCGGAGCCGGTCGCGGGTCAGCTCGGCGTCCCGGGGCGCGCGCCAGCCCGAGCCGCCCGACCCGTTCACCAACATCAAGGACAGCCGGCTGGAGCGGCTGCTGGCGGACATCATCCACTCGCCGGGGGCGGCGGAGCCGGAGCAGCGCCATGACGGGCCGACGTCCGCTGAGTTACGGCAGCGCTCCTCGGAGCTGCTATCCCCGGAGCCCAGCTGCCTCTCCCCAGAGCTGGTCTGCTCAGAGTCCGACCAGCGCTGTGTGCCGCTGCGGGAGGACGGTCCCGGCCACCCGCCCAGTGGTAACGCCTGCGGTCGGCCGCAGCGACCGATCACGGCGCGCGGCCGGCCGGCCAGGGCCTCCCGCTCCACCCCCTCCGGGGACGCCCGGACCGCGCCGGCGGCCCTGCCGCCCTGCGCCGCCCGCAGCGAGGGGGGTGCGGCGGTGACCCCGGGCCGGTCGACAGGGGACGGTCTGTCGGGCGGCGGGGAGATCGCTGACATCTGGCGCCGCCGGCCCACCGCCGCGCAGCGCCGCGATCCGTGCAGCGAGGCGGCTATCGCTGAGGACCGGAGTCCGGCTGCAGGCAGTGAGGGGAGCGGGGCGGCGCCGGCGATACCGGACCGGCCTCAGCCGGAGCACCACCTCCCGGCGCCGGCAGCTCAGCGACAGCACGCCAAGAGCGAGGGCTTCATCGACCCGAGCGCCCGGCGGGCGGAGGCGGAGCGGCGCCGCGCCAGCGCCGCGCCCTGCCTGGAGAGTCGGGGGAGAGCGGAGCCTCCGACACCAGGGGAGCAGACCGCGGCGCCCCCGCAGACCGCGGCACCCCCGGCGGCCGGCGGGAGCTCACCGGCCGACCCGGCCGCGGAGGGCGGAGGCGGCGGCTCGCCAGCCGCCTCCCAGCCGAGCTCGCTGCGCTCCGGGCTGCGGAGCGCCGACTCGGTGCAGCGGAGAGTGTCGTTTGACCAGAGGGCCACCGTGCAGACGGTGTCGGACGGAGCGGCCGGCGGGGCGGGGGAGGGGGCGGGAGGAGAGGGTGCAGAGGGGGAGAGGGACGGCGGCGCGGACAGCGGTCAGTCTGAGGCTAGCTAGTGGGTGAGTTCAGGGCGATAATGTCACGAGGCACCTGCCGCGGAACACTGAATGGACGCAGGCTTTGACTCGCAAATCTCAAATCGTTATTTGCCTTTTTCCGTTTTGCCTTTGCAATATTTTCAGTTTTCATTTTGTGAGAAAGAAGTTTCGGCGGCAACTGTTAAAACTCTTCGTCAGCAAATTATGGCTTCGAATCGTTACGAACGCAAAATATTACTTTTTCTCCTATCGGGATGTTCTTGCTTGATCAACACAATAAATACCTGCATCGCCCGCGTCATCTGTGAATGTCTTATCGATCGCGGCCTTACTGGGACCTGAATCCTCTCCTCTGACCTGACATCTGACCTCACTGACCTGACCTATGACCTCACCAAAACACCATGGACCTGACCGCTGACCTTCGCTCTCTCCTCTGCCCTGAATCCTGACCTGACCTGTGCCCTCACTCTGACCTGACTCATGGCCCGACCTGTGAACTCACTCTGACCTGACTCTGGCCCGACCTGTGACCTCACTCTGACCTGACTTGTGACCTGTGTCCCGACCTCAAACCTGACTCATGACTCGAGTGTCCCTGACCTGACCTGGGTCCCCAGTAAACATGCCGACGTCGGCCCGACGTCGGCCGACGTCGGGGTGACGTCGGCAACTCGGCATCGGCATGCCGACGTCGGCCCGACGTCGGTCCAACCTCGGCACGACGTCGGCTGGATGTCGGATATGCCCGCATGTTCCGACGTCCAGCCGAGGTCCAGCCGACGTCGGGCCGACGTCGGACCGAGATCAATTGCTGAGGTCTAGCCGACGTCGGGCCGACGTCGGGGCGACGTCGGTCCGACATCGGTCGCTGTTTTGACCGTTAAAATAATACAAAATACATGTTTCATGTTTCATAAAGAGCTTCTGTATTCAAAATATCCTCAGGAAACTCAAATCTTCCTCTCCTCCACGCCGCAACCCCCTGATCCGGACTGGACGGGAAACTTTATCCCATTTGGGATTGCCCGTAAGCCGAGCTCGCCCGTAGCCGGGTGCGGTGAGTGCTTGGGGGCTGCTCGGCCTATACTTTGGTCAGGCTCAGCCCCGGCAACTCACCAGGGCCGGGCCCAGTTCATATAGAAAGGCCAGTCGGCAAGTGTCACTTTGCCAAAGTGCCACTTATCAAAGGGACACTTTGGGCAACGTTGGTGCAGGTGTGTAAGAGTGGCTATATGAATCCATTGTGGGGTCGCCCTTTCCAATAAGTGTCACGTAACAGCAATGGGACCAGGGACTCTATATGAACTGGACCCAGGGTGCTCGCCAAGAAGACCAATGTCTCCATCCTATGACCCTTCCGGCTCTGAAATGGTCTTGTCAGACCGAAGGGGCATAACCCAACAAAACAGACCTAATTCATTAGCTGGCTGCGTGGTGCAGTGGTTAGCGCACTAACCATGCGTTCGAATGACACGGGGTTCGAATCCCATCGCCGGCTGATGCTTTTGGCGTGTTGTCCCAGTAAACATGCCGACGTCGGCGACTGGGGGGCTCGAATCCCGCCGCCGGATGATATTTTTGGCGCGTTGTCCCAATAAACATGCCGACGTCGGCCCCGTCGGTCCAACGACAAACGATCTCGTCAACCTCGGCAAACGATCTCGGCCCGACGTCGGCTCGACGTCGGCTGGACTTCGGGTGGACGTCGGAACATGCGGGCATATCCGACGTCCAGCCGATGTCGGGCCGAGGTTGAACCGACGTTGGGCCGACGTCGGGCCGAGCCTCGGCCCGACGTCGGGCCGACGTCGTCATGTTTACTGGGTCCCGACCTCAAACCTGGGTCCTGACCCGATCTGTGTCCCTGACCTGACCTGTCATGACCTTACCTGTGTCCCGACCTCAAACCTGGGTCCTGACCCGACCTGTGACCTCACCTGACATCCCTGGTGGGCTAACAACCCGTCTCAGAAGTCAGACCTGACGGGGTCGAGTACCTACCACCCACAGGCAGCGGCGTGTTGTATGAAATGGGTGCATCACGTCTGGTCGGCCTCAGGTAATATTGATTTTTATTTATAATTTTAGTGTTTATATTTTCATTGTAATGTGTTTAGCGCTACTCTTGTAGAAAGTTGGGACACCTTGTCAAATAAACTATTTTTAATACTCTTGGGTAATTATGGGTGTCACATTTCTGGCGCTCTATTGTCGATTAGTTGCGCAGTGTTGTTTTGATTATTGCGCTGTTTGGAGACGAGTGGGGATGTATTTTCGATGAAAATAAGCTAAAAAGTACTTAACCTGACAGTAATTGACCTGAGCTTGAGCTGGTAAATGGTAATAACGTCTTGGCTACTGAATCTACATCGATTGATGTAAAATGCACAAGAGACCGAGGGGTGAAAAGATGTGAAGTGGTGCCTGAACCTGAAGTCAAAGTCTTACAGAGGCAGACCGGAGCATTTTCTTTTTTTATCAAGTATCTAACCCAAAAATGAGGTCAATCAACAATGCAATGAGCTTGAAAAAGGTATGTCGTTAGATCACCTAATATTGTAATGCACCATTGATTTGCCTCAGGATATCTGGCTTACGTTTTCAGCACAAAGTCTGCATGAGTATGCCCTCAATTTCGTCCTGACTGTTTGAAACATTGAAAATTAAATGTGCTGTTTGGCCTCTTGGAAAGCTGGCTAGATTATTTGGTACCTATTTATCATATTGTTATGCTAGCAGGTTCCAAATTTGCAGTTCTATCACCTCATTTAGGATCCATCTTTTATTTTCAGTTCATGCTGCGGCAGGAAGTCCTGACTCTCTACAGGTCCATTCTGAGATCCATCAAATCAGTCCCAGAACAGGACAGGGCCACAATGAAGGCATGGGTCCGAGAAGAGTTTGAGCTGCATCGGTCTGTTCAGGATGAGGTGAGCCACGATGCACCATTACTAATCCACAATATGTTGTACTGAAATATTGAACTTAAGTATGTTCAAGGTAAAGCTAACAGAAAGCATCTCTGTAACCAGGGATGTGATTACCTTGCATTGATTCATTCTCCAATTGTCAGCAAAACAAAATGTGGGAGGAGTGTGCTCAATGCTTACACTGTGCTTATTGCAGTCAAATAGGCTAAAGTCACCTTAACTATTGCTGAAGGTGATGAGGAAACTGGCAGACCTGTTGTTTTATTGCAGGCGCTCATCAAACAGCATTTAGCTCGTGGCAAAAAGACATTCAAAGAGCTCCAGCAAGCAATGAATCTTGCATCATCCTGACAAGTTTTTAGCAGCCAGCTCAACTGTTGCTCCTGTTCATCTACTACTTGAATCTACTTTGGTGAGTCAGGTTATGGATGTCTTGCAGTTTAGTATCAACTCTCAATCGCCATGACGGCGCCAGTCGCCCAATAACTATGTCGCTCGCAGTCGCGCGGAGGTCGATGGGTAAATACCCGCCATATCCCCACAAAACCAGGAATTGAAGCAGAGTGACTCAAAAATATACATTCACAAATATTATATTTGTGCTTTATGTAACAATGCACGGATATCATCCACTGTACGCACACTGCACACTACGCACTAACAACCGTACATGCCAGCGCATGCACAATGCACATTACCCGCGGGGACTCCCAGTTGAAGAGCTAAAACGTCGGCTCGCGGAGCCGAGTGTCATGTTTGACAGAGTGCACTGGCATAACCGGTGGTGTCGGTACGGGACTATGACGGGTCACCGATCGGCAGTCGGAATGAACTGGCAATCCTAACAGCGGCTAGAAGGCTATCTAACAAATAGCGATCTCCAAGCGCCTGCCCTCGACATTAGAAGCGGGACTGGACATTAGCCAACAGCTGCCTGAAGCATTCCAATCAACGAAAGTGCATTGACAAGCGCCCTATTTCAAATATGAGATCACTTCTATATCACCCATCACAGCAGAGGTTATGATAATTGACAGGAGGAAGCAGGGAATCACGCCCATAAAGTGCGTTATGAGTATAAATGCCGAAGGGCCACAGTGCATCATTGAAGCATAATCAGCTTTGCCACCCGATTGGTGCCTGGCGAAATGACAGTGCATAGTTTGCCCTGCCATCACTTATTGCGACGAGGAAGCACCCAGAGTATAACTGTAACAACGCTTCAACGAGTTCTTCTCAGAAAGCACCACAAGGACTCGTGGTTCCGCTGAGCTCAGGCCGCCCTGAAGACGCTGCGCAGCCCGAGCACCACGTTGGCGGCCAGCAGCGCCGAGCCGGCCAGCACCCCGACGCGCTCGATGGTGGCTCTCCTCCGGCGGGAGACGCGGCCGCCGAGCGCGGCCTCCAGCAGCGCCGCCCAGATCCACTGGCCGTCCAGCGCGAAGCAGGGCACCACGTTCAGCACGGCCAGCGCCGCGGAGAAGGAGAGCACGTAGTGCGCCAGCGTCTGGAGGCGGCGCGGCGCGGCGGCCGGCAGCGGCCACCAGCGCGGCTCGTGGTCAGACACCGCCGCATCCGCGAACACCGTGCCCGGCGCGCCCAGGAACAGCACGGCCGGTCCGGCGCGCCGCCGCAGCGAGAGCAGCCGTACGGCCGGCTCCAGCGCCGGACGGAAACAGCGCGCCGGCTCGCCGCACGAGGCCGTGGTCTGGCAGCGCGCCGGGCCGGAGTCGAGCACGGCGCGCGCCGGCAGACACGAGACCGGCGGCGCCGTCCAGTCGGGCGTGCCGTCGTCGCCGACAAACTCGAAACACAGGTGCGAGCTGCTGTTGGAGGCGTCGCAGCACTCCACCAGGCCCGTGTCGTCCCGCGCGTACGCTGGAATGGGGGGGGGGATCGTCAGATGCTGAGGTTGCTGAAGAGCGTCAGTTGCTGAGCACCCTCACCAAAAACAAATCAGGGCAAAGCGCTGATATTTGTTCCCATTGATGTGACTAACTGAAAGACGCAGTTCTCGGTCGTTCGTTTAACGATGCTGATATTCAGATGCTCACTCTCAGTTACTCTTACGCAGCGAGATATTTGGAATTTAAATGGTGAAAGGTGTTGTTCCCTCTCTTCAACGTCATTCCCACGGCATGAAGTTGCGTAATTAAGCATGTGCTATATGTCCGCTCATTTCCCATTTACAATGCTAAAAAATGGTCCAAATCTCCTACCTGTCACCCACATGTGTAACAATATCGAAAGCACGAGGTGTGATTGTCGCGGTGCTCACAATGATGTATGTTCTCTAGTACTTACGATATTGTGTGGTGTCGTCCGCCTATCCTGGTGCTTACAATATTGTGTGGTCTCGTCGGCCTATCCCGTTACTTACGGTGGTGTATGGTCTCGTCGTAGGTGGCGCTTAGGTCGGTGGAGACGCAGTAGCCCGTCTGCGGCTCGGAGGCTGCGCGCGCCAGACAGGAGAGCCAGTCGCGCCGCGAGCGGACCGGGCACTCGTTCACGGCCGTCACCAGGTCGCCGGCCGACAGACCGGTGGCGCCGTGCAGCGGAGAGTCCTGCAAACACGGCCGGGAACGTCACCAACAGACAGAGAGGGGTAAGGGCGGGTGCGTGCAGAGAGGGAGTAGAGAGGGTGCGTGCAGTGATCAGAGACGCACAGAGACAGTGCGAGTGTTTTAGCTTGAAGTCAGTATTTATAGTTGTTATACAGCTGTGTGTGCCTTGAATACCTGGTCAAAGTGCAATACATGTGAGAAAGATAATGGTGTAAACTTTGCGTATTTTATGGTACGTCAATCCTTCAACAGATTTAACTGACATCGAAGTCGAGGACGCCTGGGTGTTGCAGAGAGCTGTCATGTGTTAACCCTGACCAGCTACTGACCTGATAGACGCTGTAGACGCCTCCGTCCTGTCCTATACTGACCTGATAGACGCTGTAGACGCCTCCGCCCTGCCCGATACTGACCTGATAGACGCTGTAGACGCCTCCGTCCTGTGCTATACTGACCTGATAGACGCTGTAGACCACAGCGCCCTGCCCCACCCTGTACAGGGGCGCGGTGAGCAGCGGCAGAGCGGCCAGCAGGGCGGCCGCCGCCGCGCACAGCACCACGTTGTGCCAGACGCCGGCGCAGAGCACGCGCAGTCGGCGGAGCGGCGGCAGCGCGGAGAGCGCCTCCGAGCAGACGTCCACGAACGCGGCCGGCAGCACGAGCACCAGCAGCAGGCCGGAGCCGAACACACGCACCTGCTCACTGACGGAGCGAACGGGAGGGGGGGGGCGTGAGGGAATGACTGACGGGAGCCGACAGCGCGTCGTGGGGGATTTACCACCGGGGACAGGCGGTCAGTGAGGACGCAAAACGACGCAACACTTTTTAATGACGCTGAATAAGGTAAATATCGTTACTCTGACCTCTCTTCCTATAAAACAGCCACCGATATAAAAATTAGTTATCTGTGGAAATGCCCCTTTCGTCGCTTCCTAGAGGCCTAGAGAGGCCGTGCAGATGTTTTTTTTTCATTCTTCGACCCGGAACATAAAATGGACTCGTCTGCCGAGTTCGGGGTAAGGGGGCGGCATTAATCGGTAGACTAGACACTAGACAGGGCTGACGGACCTGTTAGGGCGGACCTAACAAAGGCTCTCCCGCACCGCTATCAATGACGGCGCTCACCGGACGGCGGCCACGGCGTGTCCGCACTCGTGGTAGACGCTGCACACCAGCAGGGTGATGACATAGTAGGGCACGTCCTCGGCCGGCAGGTTCACGCCCGGCAGCTGACGGACGGGGGACAGGGGGCGTCAGAGAGTACGGCGGGGTGATGCACCGCAGCACCGTTAGCGTTAGGCCGGAGACAGGGCGAAACGGTACAGTGAAACATCGACCATGGCGAACCATGGTGAAACATGGCGACCGTTGTCTTTATATGCCATAAAACTGCGGACAGTCAACGGTGTGCTGCATTTTCTCGAAATATGTCCCATTTTTTCGATGCTTGGATTGCTTCCGACACCACCCTCCCTGCCAGCTCCCTCCGGACTCCGGTTCCTCTCTCCCGCTCTCTCCTGCTCCCCGCCCCACTCACCACGGGCTCCAGTACGAAGGCGGGCGGCGCCGCGGTGGCCGCCGCTCCCTCGGCGGCCGCCGGTCTCAGCAGCGAGTGTACCGTGTGCAGCAGCAGCAGCACGGAGGGCACCAGCAGCGCGCAGGTGACCCACACCCCGGCAGAGAACCAGAGCCGCGCCAGCCGGCCGCCGCCGCCGCCCCACCGCTGGAACGGCCGGTTCAGCGCGCGAGTACTCCACTTGAGCTGCAGCGGACGGACCGTGACGCCGGAGGCCTCCAGCAGGTTCAGGTACGGCAGGTGCAGGCAGGACTGAAATCGGGGGCGGGCAGGACTGAAATCGGGGGCGGGCAGGACTGAAAACGGGGGCGGGGAGGACTGAAATCGGGGGCGGGCAGGACTGAAAACGGGGGACTGCTCACCAGTAGCTGGAGTTGCTGTGAACTAGAGGCTACCAGTAAGATCAGTTGTTGACAAAGTGTACAGTTACAGAGTGATTTCAATCCATCAAGCTTTTATCTTAATTAATAGATGCTAAGTGCACCTCTGGATTTTCAATGATAAAATATAGCAAAACAAAGTATCTGTTCTTCAAATGAAACCATCGAACTGCCATTGCAATGGAACCCATCAGCATCTCCAAGGTGAAGGGATTTGCATACAATAAAGAAAATTAAGCATCAAGCTGGCTTACCTTGAGCACTGTGTCCGTTACATACAGCACGACATGGACCAAAACAATGACTAAAATCACCCAGTATGAAGCCATTTCCACAATTATTGATGGTACCAGTAGAACAGTGAACTAGTGACGTTGCCTACACTGTGTGTACCATTTGATAAATGATCTCATAATATTGCAACATAAATCAAACTACAATGCATGCTTCAGATTATGCTTCTTTGATCTTATTTATGTAGCCTTTGATGAAAAGTGGAATGGTTCAAATGCAGCCTGAAAACGACAAAGTGTCATGTTTATCTTCCACTGGTATGGATATTTGACACCTGACTGTTTGCATGAGATGTTAAACCAAGTAGGACATGCATGGCATACAAATAAGTGGCACATTTCTAGTGATTTGGATTGAGGACATTGGCCAAATGGCACTATGCCATATAGGTTAGGTAGGTACTTCAGCACTCTCAAATTTTGAAATTGAGAAAGTGTCTTCAGAACAATTGAATTGTGGAAGGCATAAATAAATATATGGCATTATGAAAATATAGGAGGATAGGCACCTTGACCAACCCCCAAATTCCCTCTGTAAAAGAATCCCCTTTTGCAATCAACTAATAGGCAAGCTAATATTATTTATAGTTATTTATAGTCACCGTGGCTAATATGACTTTTTTTTTTTTTTTTTTTTTTTTTGCTCGGTCGGCCTAGTGCCATACCCGAGCAGGGGGCAGTTACTCCGGCAATTTTCGCCGGGCAGCAAGTCTTACGTTAAACCGGTTTATGTGAACCCGGTAGCAAAAACAACGTGGGATCCTATCTTAATGTGGAATCAAAGCTAAGGGAGGTACTTACGTGTATAGCCAAAGAGCCGAGATGTCTGGAGTCGCAAACACAACAGTGGGAATGACTTTTATTAACAATACATAATAGACATGAACACTTGTGAGCTGGTGTCAGTGTAATGGAGCCGGGAAGCTTTCATCGCACTGACAGAAGGTATAAGACCTTCTAGGCTCCAGCCCCCCGGCGGGGCCTTGTTGTGGGGTGTAATGGTCGGGAGAAAAAGTCCTAAATAATAAAAAACCCGACGCCTAACGCAAAGGGCAAAAACCTCGCACCTAAGCCAAAACGGCGCGAGGGAAAAAGCCCTGTAACCGCGATTAATTAATGTGTGAGTTTGGGGGTGAGCCGGGAGACGAGGGCTCTGATTAGCGTTTTAGGGGCGGCAGCCGCGGCCCTAACACGCTAAAGGCTCTTGATGATCCGAGCGTCGGCGAGAAAGACGAACAGAAGGTCGTGGATATCCGGATGAGTGTCGCCCAGGAGAGTCGGAAGGTCGAGAGAGAGTCCATGTGTGTTAATGTATTGTACTATATGTCTGCGGTGTTGGTGTAGGTGTGGGCAGTGGAGGAGGAAGTGTGAGATGGTGTAGCGTGGGTGGTCGCGGCAGTGGTGACATATGGGTGGAGGTGCTCTGTCCAGGATGTAGTTGTGGGTGAGTTGTGTGTGGCCGAGCCGGAGCCTGGCTAGGACTCTCTCTTTGATCCTTGTGTTTTGATGGGAAGAGTAGAAATGGCAAAGTTTCGGTTTAATGGAGAAGAGATGTGGTGTATGATCATCTATCCAGCATTTCTGGCGGTATCTCTGGAAGGCACGGAAGAGCGAAGACAGAAAATCCGGAAGGGGGAGAGCGAGATGATTTCGAGGTGGGAGATGAAGACCTTCTTTGGCTAGCTTGTCCGCTTTTTCATTCCCCTGTATTCCAACGTGGGACGGAATCCACAGGAGAATGACGTGTTTGTTTTCATCGGTAAAGCCAATAATCATCTTTTTTATTTTATAAACGATTTCGTTTTTTTCCATTTTTCTGTGAGCTATTGCCTTTACCGATGAAGCTGAGTCTGTGCAGATCACAGCCTTTTCTATGTTTTTCGATGAGACATATTTGAGTGCTGAGTGAATGGCTATCAACTCAGCACTAAATATGCTATGGTCGTCGTGTAGCCTACTTGTTTTGTTATGATGGTCAGATGTGACAGCGGCTGCCGTCCTCCCGTCACAAACTGAACCATCTGTATATATGTATGCATAGTCTTTATGTTCTTCTTTATGCTCATAGAAAAGTTGAATGCTTTCTTCTTTTGTGACTTTTGATTTTGCCTCTGCGTACAGGAATGCAATATTCTCTATGGCTGGCAGAAAGAAAGAAGAGATGGGTGGCCGATGAAAAATAGATGGAAAATCCAACTGGAAATCACTGAGTGTCCTTTCTATGCGATAGGCGATTATCGGGTATTTGAGTTGGGCCGTTGTGGGAGGGTCGTCCGTATATCGATTGGAGACAATGCGGTGCGAAGGCGAATAAGGGGACAAGAAAGTGCGCGCATAGAAGCGAAGGAGTTGGAGTTTACGGCGGTGAGAGAGAAGAGGAATATTACATTCTGCGTGGAGAGCCTTGATATTTGTGGTGCATTGGGCTCCTGTAACTATACGCAGGGCCTTATTTTGTATAACTTGAAGTGATTCGATCTGATTAGAAGCTATATCATCAAATAGAAAACTGTTGTAATCCAGGATAGGACGGATTAGGGAAGTGTATAGGTTAAGGAGGGTGCTGCGATCAGCACCCCAATCCTTTCCTGCTATACACTTAAGTATGTTGAGGCGCCTAGTGCAACGCATTTTAACGTCTTCAAAGTGATGTTTAAAGGAGAGTCTACTATCTAGTGTGATGCCGAGGTATTTGAACGTTTTAACATATTTGATAGTTTGGTTCTTTACTTTAAGTTCGGTATCAAATTTAAAACGGGACTTATGGGAGAATATAAGTGCTACTGTTTTGCTGGGCGACAAGACTAGGCCCCATTTATCGCACCAGCTATGAATATCCTCCATTGCGTTTTGAACGGAGGCAAAAGCCGAGTCAATGTTTCTTCGCGTTACCCAAATGGCCACATCATCGGCGAAAATAGAATGCTTAAGGCTACTAGGTGGGTTTTGAAAAAGGTCGTTAATCATAATAAGGAAAAGGGTTGGGGAGAGGACACTGCCCTGAGGGAGGCCGTGATCCTGATTAAGATTGGGAGAAAATGTGTTACCGCATCGTACGTTAAATGTTCTATCTTTGAGGAAATTAGAGATATAATGGGCCATGTGGCCGCGAATACCTGTCTTATGAAGTTTGATCAGAAGGGCTTGTTTATTTACTTTATCAAAGGCGTTTTGAAAATCAATGAAAACTGCAAATGTATACATGTCATTTTGGAAGCCCTTCTGGATGTCATCAATGAGGTGGACTATATTGTCTGCCGTGGAGCGGCCGGACCTAAATCCTGTTTGATGTGGAGAGAGGAGGTAGTTACCTTCTAGATATGCCCTAATCCGTCCATTGACCATATGTTCTGTCAATTTAGCAGCGCAACTGGTTAGGGATATAGGTCTATAACTAGAGGGGGAGGAGGGTGGTTTGGAGGGTTTAAGGATGGGGACGATGGTACTGTTTCTCCAGCTCTCGGGGTACAAATTGTTTTCCCATAGATTATTGATTACTATCAAAAGGTTTTCAAGGCCGGATTCAGAAAGGTTTTTGAAGAAAGGATAGGCTATCTGATCCGGCCCTACCGACGTTTCACCACATCGAGATATGGCGTGTCTAAGTTCGAACAAGTCAAAGTGCTTGTTATAATTTTCAGTATTTGCTGAGTCGAAGGAGAGGGTGTCGAGTGTTGTGTTAAAGCTGTCATGTTGTACTTGTGTGTATTGTTGAGCAGAAGATATTCGTGCGTAATGTTGGGCGAATTGTGTCGCAACTTGAAGGGGAGTGGTGTAGTGGGTGTTGTTAATGTAGAGATGAGGAATTTTGTAAGTTGTGCTGCGCCTTGTCGAAAAAACTCTAATTAGCGACCAGATTTTAGAAAGGGGAGTAAATCTATTAAAGCTGTTAGAGAAGGAGTGCCATCCTTCTTGCTTTGCTTTAAGTATTATTTGTGAAGCATCATATCGGGCCTTCCGGAGGGCATTTTCATGGTAATCGCAAATACATTTGTTAAAGACTCGTAAGGCACGCTTCCGCAGAGCTACAGCTCGATTGCAGTCAGCGTTCCACCAAGGGGCAGCTTTGTTTTCACGTGGGGGGTGGGTATGGGGAATATTTTGGTGAGCAGCAGCGAGAATCACGTTTAAAAAGGTGTTGATGTCAGGGGGAGGGGTGGGAGTGTGTTCATCTATATGTTTTTGAAAGGAGGCCCAATCAGCTTTCTTAAAGTTCCAACGAGGAAGAAATGTAAAATTGGCTTGTCCTGAAGGGACATTAAGTTGATAGTGAATGGGATAATGGTCGCTAAACAATGTATCATCTCCGACGTGTTGAGTAAAAGTGTCGCGGTGTTAGTGTCTGTGAAGGCCAAGTCGATGACGGAGTGTATGACTTGACCTTGGTTGCTTCTGGTGAAAGTGGGTGTGCGGTTGTTAATGCAAATGAGATCAAGTGAATCCATTATCTTATCAATTAGTGTTCCGCGCGCGTTGTTCGTTGTTGAGCCCCAGGATCTGTGGTGGGCATTAAAATCTCCTAGTATTAGGCAGGGGTGGGGAAGCTGGACAAACAATTGGCGGAGTTCAGAGGAGGAAAAGCGGTGGCTTGGGGAAAGGTACAGGGAAAGGATGGCAAGGTCATGTTGCGCTATTTTGACTTGAGCTGCGACCGCGTTAAGCGTGGTGCGGAGCTGAATTTCGTGGTGCAAGAGGTTATTAGCAATATAAAGGGCCGAGCCGCCTCGGCGGGGTTTTTCATTTACGTTATTTGTATATAAAGTATATCCACGTATGTTAAAGTTGTAATTAGAGGAATCTGAGTCCAGAAAATGGGTCTCCTGAATGGCGGCTATCAACGGTTTTTTATTTAATATATAGTTTTTGAATTCGCCCCAGTGGCTCACTAGAGAGGAAGTGTTCCACTGGAGGACGAATTCATCAGATCGATGCATGTTTTATGTGTGTTGAGTGTTAAACAGATTTTTCACGAGCAGCCGCCGCTGCGGCTCTGGTCTTCATCCCCTCTGACGGGGTTGGGGACGGGGCGCGTGTCGTGGCTCGCGGATGCTGAGTGTCTGCGTTTACATGCTGGCTCGCCGCTGGGGCGGCCTCATCCGTCTCTAAGTCAGCGGGCGGAGAGGCCACCGGACCCACGATAGTAGAGACGGTCTCTGTGTCAGAAACGTCTGAGTCCGCCCCTGTGTCCACGATACTGTCGACCCATGACTCCATCACCATGTTGCCGGTGCTGTTTGGAACCGATTCGTCGTCGCCGCGGTCGCACTGCGCCTGTCCCGGGGTGACAGCCGGAGGACCGGCCGACATCTCCGTCTGCTTTCCGTCCGGGCTGAGGGGCGATTCAGTCACCCGCTCCGGCTCAGACGCGGGGGTCTCCACAGCCTCGGGCGCGCTCAGCTGTCGACGGACAGGGGCTTTCGGGGTGCGACTCTGGACCGGCGGGTTTTCGCGACTCGGTACGGTGTCCGTGAGTGAGGCCCTGCGTGGAGAGGGCGAGAGCGCCGGATATTCAGAGGCACCTGACTCCGAGTAGGAACTCGGCGGGAACGGTGGGGGCGGGGGTGGTGGCGCCAGCTTGGCTTTGAGCTTATTTTTTTGGTACTCCCATGCGGGGCACATCCGATCCCAGGCTGGATGCGGGCCACCACAGTGGCCGCACCTGTAGAGATCCCGGTCGCACTCATCGACCTTGTGGCCGGATGTGCCACACTTCAGGCAGTTCAGTCGCTTTGACCTGCAGGTCGTCTGGTTGTGGCCGAAGCTGCCGCACTGTCGGCAGAGGCGGGGGCTGGGCTCCCATTCCCTGACCTCCAAGATTTCATATCCCGCGTATATAGCCGGTGGGCAGGTAAGGCCCAGAAAGTGGATTTTGATCCTCGGGTTTGGGGCGGGGCCACGCGAGCGGAGTCGAGTGACGAGGGTGACCCCCTGCGGCCGCAGTTCGTGTAGGAGCTCCGTCTCGTCCATGTTTTTCAGTGATGGGGCAAATACAGTGCCGGCCACCGAGTTCAGTTTGGTGGCAGGGCTGGCGGCGACTTCGTTGCCGAGGAAAGTCTGGATCGAAAGGGCCAGCGAGGCCTGAGCCTTGTTTTTAACCCGGATTAGAAGAGATCCCGATCGGACTACCTTTGCGGTGACAACCGGGCCGATTAAGGTGTCGAGTTCTCGTTTGATTCGAAACGGTGACAGACCCTGGAGGGACCGATCAGGACTAGTCAGGATGATAAACGACTGCCCGTCAGGCACGTCATCTAGCGGCTCCCAGCCTCGACCAGGCGAGCCCGGAGAGGAATCTTCGAGGAGGGGGCGGGTCAGGGGAGGGCGGGGGCGGGACAGGGGAGGGGCCATGTTTAGAGAATGTGGATGGTTGGAAATGCGCCGAAAAAAAGCGTGCCAAACGCAAGAAGAGGGTTGAAAAAACGAGATCTCACAGGAGGCACACCCAAGAAACGAGTATGAAGGAAACTTTTGATGGAGAAAGAAGCAAATTAACAAAACAGAGACGTAACAGTAAGGAGAGAACAGAGAACCTTACCGGTTTGTTCAAATCACGATTTTCCAGGTGGGAAAATGGCCGACACTAAACCGACGCGGACCGAGCGCGGCGCAGCACCGCCGCCGCCAGAATTCAGCAGAAATTCACAACGATGAGCGCCAAAAAGAGAATACCGAGAATGATAATTTCGAGAAAGTACTGGGAAAGCTAGCCAGTAGCCACGCAACAACAATCGCTTAAGATCTAATATCTAATAAGCCTAAGAGCAAAATCGCACACGTGCGTCCTGAATAACGCGTGCCGAACCACTGCAAGCAACTCCGACTGCTAATATGACTGTTCTTTCGCAATAGCAGCATATGTAGCATCCGCGCCGTTTTTGAATGAACGCAGGCCTGAAATAAAAAACAAAAAAACTGCTCGAAGTAAATGACGCAATAATTCCGTGAAACGACGTTTAGAGCGTTCAAAGCATGGATTGAAGTAATTGGGTCAGTTTATATTACCATTTTATACTAAAAGTTCGTTGAAATACAGTTTAAATGAATAAAATGTCAATTTGCTCGTGTTAAAAATGATTAATTTTTAATAAACGTAAGTAGACCGAAACAGCAAAATAGACGCTTTGTCAACGCTGATTCTGCTGTTGGACAGATAGAACATTTTCTACTGGAAGCCGGCTGATGAGTGCTGACTGGTGCTGACTGACGGAAGATGACTGTGCAGTTGCATAGGTGACTTATGCCCGGCTTACGACGGGCTTTTGGAAATAATTTTCTGCCCATGCTGTCCTAATATTTTCTTTCACGATGGCTGACTCAAATAAGCCATCAGCAGTTCCCATTTACATTTCAATTATCTTGTTTGTTTGCTTTGTTTACGGGATATATGATTATCTCACCGGTTTTGAAGAAAACGGTTGTGCGTTGACATACATGTATGAATACCCACAATTCGTGGTAAGTTACTTTTCTTTAAGTTGAAATTTTTGAAGGTTTAAATAAGGTTGAAATATTTTCTACACCATGTTTCCTTTAGACGCACAGGCTGCAAGGCTATCTTGGACCTATAAGCCATCAACAGCAACCACATGTCATCTATGATTGCCTTGACTGAAGGTACTTTTGCAGTGGAACTAATCCATGATATTTTTCCATCTGAACTTGCTCAGTGCCTCATTCTCATGCAACACATGATCAAATGCTGGTCAGGATATGGTTGTGATTTAATGGAGGATTACGCGTAGTTCATCTTGCTCTTAGAAACATGATACTGGGCATTATGGTAGCTGTGTTCGTATTACAATTCCTGGGTAGGTATATAGTTGCAGTGTTTGAATTGTCCTATTGTTTTTTTTCAGAGAATTCAGCTGCCTCAGAACATCTCCCAGAAGTATCCTCGCTACAAGCTGTATGCTTATGGCGAGGGAGTCTACACTGAGCAGCTACGAGATGGCAAATTCAATGGTGTGCCAGTTCTCTTCATTCCTGGCAATGGAGGATCTTACAAGCAGGGTCTGTGTCTGTCTGTTTTTGTCTTCTGTGAGGCTTTCTTAGCTGACATTGAAGCATTGCTTCTGATGAAAATGTGTTCACACACTCATGACCATTCTGCTATCATTCATATCCACTAACCTCACCACTGAGACCTCTCCACTGACCTGGCCTCTCACCTCACCTCTGACTAATCTCACCACTGACCTGACCTCACCACTGACCTGACCGCTCCTCTGACTGACCTCACCTCTGACTGAACTCACCTCTGACCTCACCATCGACCCACTCCCCCACTGACCTCCCAGTGACCTCCTCTGGCCTCTGCCCTCCCCACTGACATCACTAACCTCTGGCCTCCCGCAGCGCGCTCGCTGGCGTCGGTGGCGTACCGTCAGGCGGTCGACTCTCGTCTGCGCACCCCGCTCAACGTGTTCACCGTGGACCTGGCGGAGGACCTGGGCGCCGTCCACGGCCGGCTGCTGGCCGAACAGACCCGCTTTGTGGCCGCCTGCGTGCGGGCCGTGCTGCGGCTGTACGGCAGGGCCGCCGGGCCGCCGCCCGCCTCCGTGGCCCTGGTCGGACACTCCATGGTGAGAGGCGAGCGGATACGGCAGATCGATTGGAATGTGATCTGTCTGGGTGGGGCTGTGGTATGGAGATTGTTCCGTCTCGTTTTACCCTTTACACTCGCTCTTAGCGAAACCTCGGCACTCCCTCTCGGCACTCTCCGCATATTGCTTCGTGTCGCCACATCGCCCCGCATCTCCGTGTGCCGATGCATCGTCTCGTCACAAGACTCTCTCCATTTATATTTTAGATCGTCTGACCGCTCCCCTGTATGTTTCCCGGGCGGTGTGGTTGTGGTGGGCAGTAGTCCACGGTCTGTTCGTGTTGTCGGTACCACCTGACCGCCCCTCTGTGTGCCCACAGGGCGGTGTGGTGGCCCGCGGCCTGTTCGTGTCGTCGGTACCACCTGACCGCCCCTCTCTGTCCCCAGGGCGGTGTGGTGGCTCGCGGCCTGTTCGCGCTGCCCGGGTTTGACCCCGCCTCTGTCAATGTGCTCCTCCTGCTGGCGGCGCCCATCGCCGAGCCGCCGCTCAGAGTCGGTTAGTGCAGTCGTTACTATACTTTACCACCCGGCACACCGTCGGTCCATCTCGCCCACTGACTCACCGCCCGCCCGGACACAGCTAGGCCCGGGCGGCAACCTGACACCGCCTGAGCAAAGTCCATCCAACTGCACATCAGGTAGAGCATCACTTAAACTACAGTTGGCTGACGGAAGGGGCATAACATTTTACTTTGAGTCGCTCACTTGGGAGTGGGAGGGGCGGGCGGCAATAGCAAATAGTGTGGTCGGATCCCACCAATATGAATACGAACGCTCGCTGCCTGAACAATTACCACCATGGCCCATCTCTGACCACAACATCACCGTCCGTGTCTCTGCTGTCAGACCTGGCGATGGTGCGCTACTACGGCTGGGTGGAGTCGTTCTGGGCAGCGCGGCGCAACACCACCCTCTCGGCCGTGACCGTGGTCTCGCTGTCCGGGGGAGACAGGGACGTCCAGATTCGACCACACCAGACGCAGCACCCCAGCTCCGACATCACAGCCGTGGTGAGTGTGTTACGACCGCCGACATCACAGCCGTGGTGAGTGAGTTACGACCACATCACAGCCGTGGTGAGTGTGTTACGACCACATCACAGCCGTGGTGAGTGTGTTACGACCACATCACAGCCGTGGTGAGTGTGTTACGACCACATCACAGCCGTGGTGAGTGTGTTACGACCACATCACAGCCGTGGTGAGTGTGTTACGACCACATCACAGCCGTGGTGAGTGTGTTACGACCACATCACAGCCGTGGTGAGTGTGTTACGACCACATCACAGCCGTGGTGAGTGTGTTACGACCACATCACAGCCGTGGTGAGTGTGTTACGACCACATCACAGCCGTGGTGAGTGTGTTACGACCACATCACAGCCGTGGTGAGTGAGTTACGACCGCCGACATCACAGCCGTGGTGAGTGAGTTACGACCTCCGACATCACAGCCGTGGTGAGTGAGTTACGACCTCCGACATCACAGCCGTGGTGAGTGAGTTACGACCACATCACAGCCGTGGTGAGTGAGTTACGACCGCCGACATCACAGCCGTGGTGAGTGTGTTACGATCGCCGACATCACAGCCGTGGTGAGTGAGCTACGACCGCCGACATCGTATTGTATTGTATTGTATTGACATCGCGTCTCATCCACTAGTGTGGCTTTTCATGAGAACAAGTACAGATATAAAATGTTAACATGGATGAGTGGGAACAAAATCACATCACAATAACTATGCACTCCATTGACACACATGATGTTCAAACATTCGGTCGATCTATCATCCCTGTGATTGTACCAAGTATTCTTTCAGCCGTCTTTTGGACCCCCCACGAACAGACTGGGGCAGCGCATTGTACGCGGAGACAGTCCTGTACATAAACTGCCGCCGGCCAGTTTCTGTTCTGATCACCGGCGGTCGCAACTGTTGCCGATAACTGGCACGTGTGCTCCTGTCGTGGACCTGGCTGGTGGTCGTGATCGACTGGGCGATTGTGGCTGGCTCGCCAATGACCAGTGCTTGACGCAGCAAGCAGATACAGCGGTACATACATAGGTTGTGAGCGGAAAGCCAGCCTAACTGTGAGAGCACGTCACTGATGTGATCGTGTTTTCTGCGTCCAGATAAAACTCGGGCACAGAAATTCATAACCTTCTGAATGCGATGCATGGCCTGCTTTGGAGCGCTGCCATAGACGGGAATACAGTATCGAATGATGGAGAGCACTAATCCGTTGATGACAGTGGGCATGACATCGCCCGGCAGTCTATGCTTGGCGTGACGCAGACCAATCAGCAGACCATTACGATTGACAAGCTCATCAACATGCGGCTCGAAAGACAGGTATCTGTCGAAAATCACTCCTAGGTTTTTGGCTGTCTCCGACTCGACAATGCGCGCGCCTTCGACGTGGAGCGTGACGGGGGGCAGACCACGAAGCATTTGACGGGTACCAATCACTAGAAGCCGTGGTGAGTGTGTTACTACCTCCGACAGTGAGTGAGTTGCGTCCTACGACATTGAGCGAATCACGAGCTCTGACCTCACAGTCTTGAGTGAATTACGACCTCTGATATCACAGCCGTGGTGAGTGAATTACGACCTGCGGCAGTGGGCTAATTACCACCTGCGACATCACATTTGCAGACGTGAATGAAATGCCATAAATGTCACAGCAGTGGTCCATTCCACAGATCCTGTTTCACCGCACGCTGTTGGCACATGTGGCGCATTCGGGTTCCATGGGGACACTAACAAACTGGGACGCTCTAAAATATTAATCGTTGTAGGTGCTTTTGCGAGGAAAATAGCAAGTATGAATAGGGTAAGGGCGGGTAAGAGTACGCGGGCGATAAGAGTACGCATCAGCTGTTTCGGTTGCTTAGCAACGCGGGTTTGTCGAGTTCATGAAGTGACATGAAGCCGCCAGTGCGTGCATGTCACCAACGGAACGTGGGCGTTGAGCGGCGACGCTGTTGAGTTTAAGGCGATGAATATTATTTTCGAGCGTTATGATATTATTATGATACGGTACAATAATTTTGATACTTGGCAGTTGAGATGAGGTACATTTCCGTGATTGTTGTGGGAAACTTGTGAGGTTATCTGGGGAAATACTGTACAGTGCAATATTCTGTTTGCGAAGTTTTGCACAACGTTTCGGGATTGTTTTGTGCGCGAATTGCATGTACGGTAAGAGGACGCACTGTTCAGGAGGGTAAGAGTACGCAGAATTATACATTAACCCTCGCCGGCCGAGGGGGGGGGCGGGTGCCGCCCCCCCATAGGGTTTTTTCGCGATAGCTCCGAACACGCTGGCGATAGAGAGCTGAAACTTGGCATACCTGACCTTTGATCCAAGCCGCATCTTTTGACACCAACTGCATTTTTGGGTCAGGTCAGGTCACTGACCTATGACGTCATAAGTGAACCTCTGCACGGTCTTCAGATGTCGCAACTTCGCAACGCCCTCACTGCCAGAGGAGATGTCACAGGGAAATGAAACTTGCAGGATCTAGTATCCATTATGAGTCCCACAACTTGTATATCTCGGATTTTTCCTAAAGGTCATATGAGGTCAGGTCATTTTCGTGACCTCACCATTATAAGTCAATGGGGAAAAATTCAAACTGCTATTCTGGCGCCGGGAACGATCTCCCACCATCTCAATCACACAGAATCGTGATTTGATGCACTCCTTGCAAGGTTAGATGCGTCACTTTTGCAATGTTGACCTTGCGTGACGTCATGACGTCATCAAGGTCATATTAGTTTTTCGTCAATAACTCTTGATCAAATTGAGCTAGCGAGTCGGGGAAGCCACCAATGGACTCAGGAAGACCTGCCAAATCGAATGATATGCGACATGACCCCTTTCGACCAACTTCGTGACCTTAGGGTGCTGACCTGACCTTGACCTGAGGTCAACACCCCAAGTTGACCTGACCCGAACAAAAAGTATATCATTCGACGCGCCTGAGCGAGGCGAACACGATGCTGCCAAAATCGCGGCGCTGCGGCCGTTTTTTGCGAAGTTATTCACCAAAAACTGAACCGTACCTTGGGGCACTTGACCTGACCTCAGAGGTCACCGGTTGACCTAGGACCTTAAAATCGGGTACCAATCTCTGCGTCTCGTAACGGCGCACACGCTCGTTTTTTCCGCGACACGCTAGCTCCACCAGGGGCGAAACGGCGAGGGGGGGTCGTACCCGCCCCCCCCCCCCCCCTCGGCCGGCGCGTATGTAGAAAACCAATAGGTCCGGCGAGGGTTAAATCGAATATGCAGAAATATATAATTATTAATCTATATCCACTAAGTGCGTACTCTTATACGACTTCACCCTACGTGAGGGATCATGTACAGTCCACAGCAGAAGTAATGTGGGGTTTCAGCCATGGGTATGTTCTGCTTCTGAAGCTTAGGAATGATTAGCCAGACTACAATGAAACTTTGAATGTAGCTTATACATATCGTTACCCTTGCAGCTGCAACTTTAGCTATTGACATCTTCTTTTCGATCACTCCGCATTAAACAATCGCCAGTCAAAGCTAACCGTTGAGATTGGTAAAACCCTACATTACTTTAGCGGTGGGCTGTACCTTTTCCTCGGGGATTTGGACGTATGGTCAGCAGTCACTTATCGAGTTTGTGGCCCATCTGAACAGCACCCTACCCTACGATTCACCTTAGAACATTCTGGGGGACAGTCTGGTGTGCCATTTCTAGACACGCGGCTTACTGTTACCAGCGACGACAATATGACAAATATTGAAGCTGAACTGAAAGGCTTTAAGAAGAGGTCAGGCGTGGAGGACGACAAAAATGTGCTGATTGTATAGCTGAGAAGAAGAGCAAGGACGGTTTTTGTCTCTTCCATACGGTGATGAGGAGTTTTTATGCAAATTCAGAGTAGGTAAGGTCGGAAGTCCGGCTTCAAATGATTTGTAAAGTGTTAAGTGCATATGTCTTTATCACATGTCCATTGTCCGTCCGTGTATATGACTATGTGTCCTTGTGTTTTAGCGGAGTGGTAAGTTTGTTCCAGAAATAGGCACGAATATCGACAACGGCAGCTTAAACTTTCAGTTCAAGAGTGTTGCATGTGTACATGAATTTTGTATATTGTTATTTTATCGGTTTGACAAAGGCTTGTAGCCGAAAGCTCGCCGTATTAAATATAACTTTTGGCTTTGATTTTACTTGTTCGAAGAAAAGGTCAATGATCCTTCGCGTATTTTTACCTTCTCTGGCGCTTTAAAGGTAGTGTGCCAGCTTTCCTGGACCGTACGGAGTTAATGGCCCAGATAAGGAGAACCGGATTTTTAGAACTTATCCATACCTTCAAAACTCATGGAAACGTCTTAAATTCTTCACATTTTGAGTACCCCAGTGCGATATTCGCCCCGACGGGTTGTCGGTCGTACCCCAACCACATTTCACACCACTATGAACAATAAATGCACACACTGAAATCGCTATTACCGATATGCTCATCCAATCAAGTTTCGATAAACCCGTTCATCATCATCTGCGGTTTCGAACACGCCTGTTAGGTGGTGCGGTAGACCGCGCCCAAAGCCAGGGCCCCGGTAACGTGAGGTAGCCGAGTCGGGGCAGCGTGCGCTGACCCAAGCCGGGGCCGCGCGTCCTCCCGGTGTCATGTGATAGCCCGGGGCTGCCCGCGGGGATGCGGTAGACCGCGCCCAAAGCTGCGGCCCCGGCTTGGGTCAGCGCACGCTGCCCCGACTCCGCTACCTCACGTTACCGGGGCCCTGGCTTTGGGCGCGGCTTCTGCTCATACTTTGTGGTGCGGTGGTGGAGCTTCGGGCCGCGCGCTCTGACTTCGGCCAAAAAAAAAAATGCGTCAGCTGATCATTGTCATTTCTGCCACTTGCGTGTGGTGAAATGGGGTCATAACTTAAGAGACGGCTTTTTCATATCAATTATTTTACATAAAATCATATTTCAAACCATAAATAATGTTCGACAGCCAAATAAAAGAAACAATACCAATACAGGCTTACAGTTTAAGGCTCGACACTGTGTTGTCTACGATTAGACAGCTGATAACTCATTCCCGTACGTCGTAACTCTATAATGACCTTTGCTTATTGTCACATGTGCGCCGCATTCGCGATTGTTGCCGACGCCTGTTTGCAGATCAGCCCACTACAGTTGTTATACATATCGAAAAACCGATAAACTTTTAGGCGAAAAAGGCACTATTCCAGGCCCATTTTTGATTTTTTTTTTGCGATATTAGGTAAAAACAGAAGCCTCTTATCCTAGGAAAAATAAAATGGGAAATCTTTCAAAGGTGGCACACTACCTTTAATATTGAGTGACGCCAGGAGTTTAGCAGTTGAACTTCACACTACTGTAAAGCTGAGAAGAGCCGTGATTTGGCCTAAGTCACACGACATCATACGTACGACCACAATCTATGACGTCAGCTGCCCCCGAAACGCGCTAGTAGCGGCTAACAGAGTGTCATGAAAGAGGGCCCTGAAACCCCACTAGCCACGTTATAGTATGTGCCACTGACATCGTTTTAGCCGGCCTGATCGAACCTTCGTACGTGCCAAGGCTCTATAGAAGTACGTGCCCTCACATGGTTGTTTCAGAAGTGTGCTCGCTGCCCATCTCGCCCAGCTGCTCCAGCCCCCTGACCCAGTACCGCCGTCCCTTCCAGACGGTCTCCGTTCCGGGCGTGTGGGCGTCGGCCGACCACCAGTGCATCGTCTGGTGCCGCCAGCTGGTGCTGGTGCTGGCGCGCGCCCTGTTCGACCTGGTGAGCGCCGACACCCGCCAGATCACCACCGACCCGGCCGCCGCGCGCGCAGTCCTCCGGCACCACTTTGTGCAGGTGAGAGGGTGGTGCTCCGACACCAGTTGGTGCAGGTGAGAGGGTGGTGCTCCGACACCAGTTCGGCTGTGTTGGTGGAATGGTGGCTGGCCCAGTGCCCCGGAACGGTGGGATGCAGTGGACCTAGGAAGGATAGCAGGCTGTGAACATTTCACTGTCTGCCGGCCCAGGAGCTGTCGTCTGCTGACTGTCTGTTTCTATCAGTCTGTCTCCGTCTCTGCCATGACTGTGAGTGGTAACTGTTATCGATACTGAGTGAACATACAGAGCTGAATGAGAACACACTGTGTCTGTGCTCCGACAGCGTACCCACGGAAAGCACTACCGGAACGCCTTCCACCCGGCCACTGTCCCGCTGGACCCGGCCGGCGAGTGGAAACAGTTCGCCCTACGACAGTGGAGCTACACGGCAGGTACGGACCCGGGGGGAAGGGGGGGGGGGGGGCAGACAGATTGACAGTAGACCCCCCGGCCGGCGAATGGAAACAGTATGCCCTCCGACAGTGGAGCTACACCGCAGGTAAAGACCCGGGACTTATGCCGACACTTTATCAGATTTGCACTCATCGTAAAACACTCATTTTCAGGGTCCAAGCTCACTATATTCGTCGATCTGACATTGACATTACATCTGTGTACACACACACAGGTAAATGCGGATGGTAAATATTCCTTTCCCTCTGTTTTGTTTTTGTTCTTGTTCCCGATTGGTGAGGTGTGCGTGGGCTCACTCTACGGTGCGTTGATAAACTCGTTGTTAGTCTTCTACTTCTCGCCTTTTGTCTCGTTTCACTCCCCCCAAGCTGTGTTGTTACCGTCTTATCACGACCCCACACCCCGATCACACGTGGTTCTGTATGGACGGTGAAGAGGCGGTCCTACCGCCGGCTCCGACCCGCCCGCCGGGTCCGACTCCGACTCCGACTCCGACTCGCCCCTGGAGGCCGGAGGGCCGCCGCCCGCGGTCCTGGTCCGGCAGGGACCGGCCCTGGTCCGGCGGAGACCGGTTCTGGTCCGGCGGAGACCGGTCCGGGTCCGGCAGAGACCGGTGGCCTCCCCCGCCGACGGGCCGGTGGTCGGCCGCCAGCTCAGAGCCCTCCCGCCGCATTGGAGTGCCGCTGGCGCCACCTACCGCGTGGCCCGAGAACCACGGCGCAGGTGGCGACATCTGTGTGTGACTGGTGATACCTGTAGTTAGACAGTAACCCGCACTGATACCGCTGAGTGCTAAACTGACCATAACACGGACTCTGCATTCTGAGGCGCCTATCCCCATCGATTCTGTCTAAACCCGCTCGTTTTTCCTTTCTTTGATAGAATTATGCGTGATTTACCTCTTGCTGTGTGAGTTCAGTGTTTGACGTCTGCTTATTATTTGAGTAGTAAGATAGTGCTGCTCTGCTATCAGTTACAACTGGACGAGAGGAATCGCAGAGGGATTATGTGTGGCTATTACCTCTCCTCAACGACTACTGTCGCTTGTACGAGTAACGGGTGCGGAACCCTAGCATACCGCTGACTTTTTAGAAATTCTTGCGTTTAAACCGTCTGCCCTGCTTTGAACTGTGTCTGGGGTCGAGCGCGACGCAATCCGCCACGATTGGAAGCTCACTAACGGCAACTCGGTTCCCAGATATTGTAGGGCGAGTCGTGCTATCTTTGTATTTGCACTCGAGTCCCGATTGTTATCAGTGTCCATAAGACTTCATGTATGACTGATGCAAGTAAATCTTATTTCAATTGTATTGTTAAATCAGATAAATATTGCGGTTGATCTTTTTTAATATCGACCAATTACGTATCGTATCGACCATTAGGATAAAGGTATTTACATACATACCGAAAGCTTTGTGTATTTTAATAAACATTTGACGCAGTTATTGTTATCATTTATCCTAACTGTCTTTGATATCGCACAAACACAAAGTATCGACCATTGTAAGGTATCAGTATGTGATGACGTTCGCCATTTTATTCTGACCGTGACCCCCGCCCCGTGCGCTCCCGGCAGCGCGCGGCGAGTCTGGCCGTCCCACATACCTGATGATCGGCCTGATGAACAACCCGCTATACCAGCGCGCCACAATCAGCACGGTGAACCTGCCCAGCCGCGACTGGCTGGTGGCCTGTGTGGCCAGCAAGGTGGATAAGGGAGTCAGGATGTGGTGAGTGGCGGGGGAGGGGAGAGGAGGGAGGGAGTGAGTTTGAGACGTGATGAGTTTTTAAGAGCGACGGGAGGGAGGGAGGGAGGGGAAATAGACTCCAGAGAATGTGACAGGCTGTCGCACGTCCTGACACCGATGTCCTATTTGATATCAGTGTCGGGGTTTACAATATGAACATCGAAGGCGTATACTTGTCAGTGTCACTGATCCTGTAGCCTGTGTCAGTGTCAATGTCACTGTCATTGACACCATTCCCTGTGCTCTGATGTCAGTGAGGAGGGTGACAACCTGAGCCGGCTGGCGGAGCAGGTGCTACTGTCCTGACTCTGACACAATTCCCTGTGCTCTGATGTCAGTGAGGAGGGTGACAACCTGAGCCGGCTGGTGGAGCAGGTGCTACTGTCCTGACTCTGACACCATTCCCTGTGCTCTGATGTCAGTGAGGAGGGTGACAACCTGAGCCGGCTGGCGGAGCAGGTGCCGTCCCTCCAGGGCCGCCGTCGCTCCGTCTCTCTGGACCTGGAGCGGCTCCACCAGCGGGGCTACACACACGTGGTGGTGATCGTGCGGCCCGCCGCAGAACAGGTCAGTGGGGGCGAGGTCATCAGGTCAGTGGGGGGTCATCAGGTCAGTGGGGGGTCACCAGGTCAGTGGGGGGGGGGGCACCAGGTCAGTGGAGGTCACCAGGTTCTTGGGAGAGGAAAGATCAGTGGGAATATCACCATGTTCTTGCCGGGAGGGGAGAGACTATACCCTGGGCAGTCACGGGGTGGCATGTTTCACACCTCGCTCAGCCGATCAGTGCAGCTCCTTTTCCTTCCTCTCCCGATTTCTTTCCGTCGGACTGTCTGTCTGGGCTACTTTTTATTAGATGTGCTACAAACGAACCATAAAACCTGTACCATTGATTGCCCCAATAACCCAGTCCTTTCTGTCACTCGACCCTGATATCTGTTGCAATAACCGGCGTCCTGTCCGTGTGGTCGACTCTTCCAGCGGCTGATGCGCCGTTGGTGGTCCGGACCGCTCCACCCGACTCCCGTCCGGGCCTCGTCCTGCAGCCGCCGATCCTACTCCCGTCCGGTCCGGGTGACGTCAGCGTGACGTCACAGTACGCCAGCCGGCGGAGTCGGCACTCAGGGACCCTGAGTCTGCTCGGTCCTGGTCGGATATCCTGTACGAAGTGAAACAGTAAGGTGAGCTTGGTTATAAAAGACATAATCAAAACGGTCAATTTTGTCATATGTGTCGTTAATTTTTATGTTATCTTGTCTCCGCTGGTTTTGAAGTACTGCTAGGCGCCAGCTATCGAGTGATACTTATCTGCTGCGCTGACTCTCCTGAGCTCCTGACCGGTCTTCTGGTCAGTCATCTCCTGACCCTCTGTACTGGCGGCAGAGCTCTGGTGGTCAGTCTCCTGAGCTCCTTTCTGTCGTCTTCTAACCCGCTGTACTGACGGTCATTGTCTTCTGACCCACTGTACTGATTCTGACGTCAGTCTCCGCCGTCAAGTGACGGTGGACTGACGTCAGCTGCGGGCAGCCCCCCCCCCCGTCAGGTGACGGTGGACTGTGACGTCAGCTGACTGCAGCCCCCCCTGCCCCCCTCCGTCAGGTGACGGTGGACTGTGACGTCAGCTGACGGCAGCCCCCCTCCCCCCCCCCCTCCGTCAGGTGACAGTGGGCTGTGACGTCAGCTGACGGTAGCCCCCCCCCCCACCCCTTCCGTCAGGTGACGGCAGCTGACGTTAGCCCCCCCCCCCCTCCGTCAGGTGACGGTGGACTGTGACGTCAGCTGACGGCAGCCCCCCCCCCCCGCCGTCAGGTGACGGTGGACTGTGACGTCAGTCGCCACAGCGACCGTCAGCTGACGGCCGACGTTCCCGCGTTCAGCTCGTTTCGCGCCTTCTTCAGTCAGCAGCAGCTGCTGGCCGAGACCCAGGCGGGCGCACTCAGCTACAACGTCTCGCTGAAGGTGGGTCAGAGGGGGTCAGGTCAGCTACAACGTGTCGCTGAGGGTGGGTCATACGCTGACAAAAAAAAAACTGCCCTGACCATTCTGATGGCCTAAGGCAGGCCAGTGCGCACTCGGTGTAGGTCGGGGCCAGTCGGGGCTTTTCGTCCCTTCGTGAAGCTTGCACACTCGCTAGTCGGCATATGCAGCTGATCAGCTGTTGCGTTATAATATCTAGATGCTGTACTAGGTGAGGGCTTATTGATTATTCACTTGCTTTGTGCCCTGTCGCTGACACATTCGCTAACGTCCGTCCCCAGTCCCTGACGGACCCGCGGCAGGCGGTGCGTATGTCTCTGACCTCTGGTGACTTGTATTCATCTCTGGTGACCACTGGTGACCTGTGATGACCCCTGATGACCCCTGTCCCCAGTCCCTGACGGAGCCGTGGCAAGCGGTGCGTCTGTACCTGACCTGTGGTGACCTGTACTGACCTCTGGTGGCCTTTGTTGACCTCTTGTGACCTCTGATGACCTCTGATGACCTCTGTCCCCAGTCTCTGACGGAGCCGTGGCAGGCGGTGCGTCTGTACCTGACCTCTAGTGACCACTGGTGACCTCTTGTGACCTGTGATGACCTCTGATGACCTCTGTCCCCAGTCTCTGACGGAGCCGTGGCAGGCGGTGCGTCTGTACCTGACCTCTAGTGACCACTGGTGACCTCTTGTGACCTGTGGTGACCTCTGATGACCTCTGTCCCCAGTCTCTGACGGAGCCGTGGCAGGCGGTGCGTCTGTACCTGACCTCTAGTGACCACTGGTGACCTCTTGTGACCTGTGATGACCTCTGATGACCCCTGTCCCCAGTCTCTGACGGAGCCGTGGCAGGCGGTGCGTATGTCTCTGACCTGTGATGACCTGTGATGACCTGTGATGACCTCTGATGACCCCTGCCCCCAGTCTCTGACGGACCCGCGGCAGGCGGTGCGTATGTCTCTGACTTGTGGTGACCTGTACTGACCTCTGGTGACCTGTGATGACCTCTGATGACCTCTGTCCCCAGTCTCTGACGGAGCCGTGGCAGGCGGTGCGTCTGTACCTGACCTCTGGTGACCTGTGGTGACCTCTGTTCCCAGTCTCGGACGGAGCCGTGGCAGGCGGTGCGTCTATACCTGACCTCTGGTGACCTGTGGTGACCTCTGGTGACCTCTGCCCCCAGTCCCTGACGGAGCCGTGGCAGGCGGTGCGTCTGTACCTCCGTCCCACGGCCGCCTGCGGTCTCAGCAGCCAGTCGGGTCTCTCGTTCCACGTGCCGTGGGGCCAGCAGACCCAGCACGTACTGACCAGGTAGGTACGACACGGCGCCCGGGTCCGGTATGCGTTCCGCGAGGGGACGTGTTTACTGTCTACATAGGCTGTGAGAGGAAGGAGCAGGAGAAGACAGCGATAAAACCCTCGCATTGTTACATAGCTAAACATGAAACACTTGGCACTTTGGAACTGACATATTGGCTTTGTTTTTGCATGATAATTCTGGCAGTCGTTTTGGTGCATGCCGTTGAGACATTTATGGTGAGCTGATGGCGGTGTCGAATATCACGTTATTTTCACCTAACTTGCCGCTATCATACCGTCATTATTAATAAACCCGTGCGTATATATTTTGCAGCGGTACTACAGTAGCCAGTGTGGCGGCCAAGCTGCAGTTTCCCCGGCCGGTGAACCTGAGCGCGGACGTCCTGCCGTACGTGACGGCCCACCTGGATCCCACCTGTCGCTACTCAATCAGGTGAGGACGCGCTACTCAACACTGCGGGAGGACCCCTGTGCATGCTGAACCACTCCAGCTGCTCTTGAAACTAGCAGCGCCCTCCGTCCCTATGTCGACACCACGTTGAGCTGGAATGCTGTTTCATCATCGGCTGGAAGCATGACCAATAGTTACATTCAGGGTGTTTGTCCTACCGAATGAAACTAAAAAGACATTGATGGTCCGAAACAATCGAGCTGACAATAAATGGTCAAGTCTTTGAAAACATTGATGACATGATCATGGACATTCTGAATAATTAACTCCTCGTTGACCACTTTCCGTCCGTCTCCCCCCCCCCCCCCTCCCTCTCTCTGCCAGCCTGCAGAGCTCGTTCCCGGAGCTGTGGGGCCAGATGGCGCGCTATTTCGGCGCGCTGCTCCGTCCTCTCTCTGTCTGACCCGTCCCCTCTCTCTGCCAGCCTGCAGAGCTCGTTCCCGGAGCTGTGGGGCCAGATGGCGCGCTATTTCGGCGCGCTGCTCCGTCCTCTCTCTGTCTGACCCGTCCCCTCTCTCTGCCAGCCTGCAGAACTCGTTCCCGGAGCTGTGGGGCCAGATGGCGCGCTATTTCGGCGCGCTGCTCCGTCCTCTCTGTCTGACCCGTCCCCCTCTCTCTGCCAGCCTGCAGAGCTCGTTCCCGGAGCTGTGGGGCCAGATGGCGCGCTATTTCGGCGCGCTGCTCGTCCTCTCTCTGTCTGACCCGTCCCCTCTCTCTGCCAGCCTGCAGAGCTCGTTCCCGGAGCTGTGGGGCCAGATGGCGCGCTATTTCGGCGCGCTGCTCGTGCCGGCCGTGCTGTCGGTGACGCTGGTCACGCTGGCCGAGCAGCTGCGCGCCGCAGACGCCGGACAGACGCTCACCACGCACGGCGCGCTACTCCGGCTGACGCCGCTCAAACTGGTGATGCCGTCTCAGCTGCTGACCTCGCTACTCGGGTCAGTACCTACCGGTCACCGCTGGGTCAGCGCGGGTCACCGCTGGGTCAGCGCGGGTCACCGCTGGGTCAGCGCGGGTCACCGCTGGGTCAGTACCTACCGGTCACCGCTGGGTCAGTACCTGCCGGTCACCGCTGGGCCAGTACCTACCGGTCACCGCTGGGTCAGTACCTACCGGTCACCGCTGGGTCAGTACCTGCCGGTCACCGCTGGGTCAGTACCTACCGGTCACCGCTGGGTCAGTACCTACCGGTCACCGCTGGGTCAGTACCGGTCACCGCTGGGTCAGTACCTACCGGTCACCGCTGGGTCAGTACCTGCCGGTCACCGCTGGGTCAGTACCTACCGGTCACCGCTGGGTCAGTACCTACCGGTCACCGCTGGGTCAGTACCTACCGGTCACCGCTGGGTCAGTACCGGTCACCGCTGGGTCAGTACCTACCGGTCACCGCTGGACCAGCGCGGGTCATCTCAGTTTCGCTAGGAGCGGCGGGTTTTCTTTTGAAAATGAATTGAGTAAGAGTTCAGCTGCAGCTCACTAAGAAAAAAATGCAGTATTAGTTGGGGTCAGACTGAAATACACAATCCATGCAATAGGACTGACTGAGGTCTAACCTGTGTGGAGGTTAGCGGATATGACACCCCGTCAGCTGCAGAGATCTGTATCTGTATCTGTGCCTGTATCTGTATCTGTCAGTATCTGACGGTCCTGCCTCCCCCAGCTGGTCGTTCCTGTCGTCTCGCCTGCCGCCGGCCGACCTGCCGCAGCTGGCCGCCCGCGGTCTCAGCTGCTCCGTTCTGCCCTTCCTGCTGTACTTTGTGTCGTGGGCGGTGGTGTGGCTGCTGTCACTGGTCGGATGGGCGGCCGTGGCCTTCGTCGGTGGACTGGTGCACCGCGTCACCGGCAGGTAGGGCAGAGACGAACGGAACACGGACCATGCGGGGTACAGGGGTACAGGGGGGAGGGACCGGTAATGTGACGGCAGGCGATACGTTACAGCTGCCACTCTCATGGCTAAAGGCATATCTGAACGCGCCCGGGTGTAATGCGCTGTGCATTTGGAGCAGTGTCCGAATCACTATCCTAGTAATAGTGATAAATAGTTCTGGTTCTTACGCTACTTGGCTCTGGGATGTTGTGTTATGGATAAGGTATCACTGACAGTTCTTTTAGCCGGAACCTCGTGTTATCTGTACATGCAGGTATCATTCATGAATCCAGTGCCATCCTTTTTATCGCCCTCTTGTCTTCGAATATTGCTGACATAGGTATCTGCGTTCAAAGGACATTCGATCGCCGTCCTTTACCTTCTGTCATCACCTGGTCAGCTGACTGTCTCTCTGACTGATGTCACTAAGTCAGCTGACGGTCCCGCTGACTGACGTCACTAAGTCAGCTGACTGTCCCTCTGACTGACGTCACTAAGTCAGCTGACCGTGCCGCTGAATGACGTCACTAAGTCAGCTGACCGTGCCGCTGATGTTACTGAGTCAGCTGACGTTGACGTCACTAACTCAGCTGACTATCCCGCTGACGTCACTAAGCCAGCTGACTATCTCGCTGACGTCACTAAGTCAGCTGACTATCCCGCTGACGCCGCCCGTCCAGTGATGACGACGATGACGACTCGGATGGCGGCGCCGGCGGCGGTTCGCTGGCCCGGTGGCTGCCGTTCCTGCCGCGTCTCCAGAGTCGGTCGCGCATTGTGCGCTACGCCGCCAAGCTGGCCGTCAGGTGCTGCTTACGGAGAGACCCGGCAGTGGAGTGTATCCGGCGCCGAGCTAGAGTAGACGCCCCGTGACTAACAGCTCCGGCCGGCGGACCAGCGCCGGGCCGGGGAGCCCGCTCAGTGGACTGCGTGGGGTGTGAACGGACCCTCTGGCTGGTCCCTCTACTGACACCGTGTGCTGTGACACTGATCAAACACTAACTGACGGGTCAGCTGTGGTTTGTCTCCCAGATATTTAGCGTTACGTGTGCTGTGGCCCAATTCCTGAGTTACTAACGTGTGCTGTGGTTTATCTGCCGAGTTGCTAACGGTGTGGCTCCCTAGTTACCAAATTACCAGTTTGGCTTTCTTCTTTTTGTTTCCTCGTGTTATATTTTTTACATCGCAGCTGCATTTAGCGTGCAGGCGTCCTCACAATTTTAACGCCTCCCTGGGAGAGAGAGAGAGAGAGAGAGAGAGAGAGATACGGTTTATTGATGTACAAACACTATACGGCTTCGAGCTCAGGAGCTCATATAGCTCGTATTACGCCATGCACGTGTGGCGTTTAAGAACGTGAATAAAGGAGCCGTTGTCAGGTAAGTGCAGGTACACATAGTCCCAGCGGGAAAATGCCGCCCGCGCTGGGACAGCAGACAGCAGTCTCTCCCGGTCACCGCAGCGGTCGCTGCGACAAACACAGCTAAACACGGTTTCAATGGGTATGCACGTGTGGTAAGGAGCATCTTGTTTAGATCGCCATGTCCCTATTAATCAACGAGGTCATGTGTGGTACGCTTGAGTTGCGCAATCTGGCGCTGCAGCGGAAGTTTTCCAGCGTTTGGGAATTTCTTGTTTCCCTACCAGATATTGCTCCTCTTTCAGGTGGGAATAGGCTTCTATGGTTAGCAGAGTGTAGCATTTGCTTCGCCAGTTTTAGACATAACTTCTCGCTTCTGTCTGCCAGTGACTCCAGCTTCAGTGTCTCAAGAAGCCGTTTATATGATAGGTCATGTCCGCCGATCAATTTAAGTGCTCGTTTTTGAACCTTTTCAAGTTGGCTTGCTTGCTTGGCTGTTAACCCTGCATGAAAAAGAGGCGCACAGTATTCCAGCAATGGACGAATGTACGTAGTGTATGTTTTTACCAGCTGGTCCTTTGATGTTGTATATTTCTTCAAAATGTAAATCATGTACAGGGCCTTCGATGCTTTTTTTACTATATCATCCACGTGTGCTTGCCAATTCAGGTCGTCCTGCTTTGTATTCAGGCTCCCTGTCCTGCTTTGTACCGTTGTATCGCGTAGCACTCAATTCGTGTGGTGGGGAGGGATTGCAGCATGGCGTACTGATCACGTGTGAGGTGGCTGCCCACCCGGCTCTCCGGAATGGTGGTCGGAGCACCGCAGCCTGGAGCGGGCAGATGACCGTCTCCGTGCCGGGTGTCTGTGACGCTTGTGTTCCTGACGGTGTATTCCGACCGTGTGACCGGTGTCACCAAAAGTTCAGTTATTCAGCAAACCGGTGTCGCTGATTCAGAGTGCGGTTTGGTCATTCTAGCTGTTAAACCGTGTCTCTTCGCTCAGACGGACGCTTTACAGTTCCTTTACACTTTCCTTTTACACTTTCTGTTGTTTTTGAAGCTGGTGTACTGACTTTTTGCTGCGTTTCTTCCCTCCCAGACTGGTGTCCCGCGCGGTGGGCGGCTCCGAGGCGGTGGCCGAGATGTGACTGTACCGTACCCCTGTCTGACAGACTGATGTCCCCTCTCTGACAGACTGGTGTCCCGCGCGGTGGGCGGCTCCGAGGCGGTGGCCAAGGTGTGACAGTACCGTACCCCTGTCTGACAGACTGATGTCCCCTCTCTGACAGACTGGTGTCCCGCGCGGTGGGCGGCTCCGAGGCGGTGGCCGAGGTGGCCGTTGCCGGCGCCGCCCGGTTCCCGGTCATCCTCTCGGTGGCTCTCTCCGCGCTGGCGCTCTCCTCCTGCGGAGAGATCGCCCTCGGACTCGGACTGATCGTCACCTGCGTCAAGGTCAGCTCAGGGCACAGGGGTCAAGGTCAGCTCAGGTCACAGGGGTCAGGATGGAGTGTCATAGAGATTGCTATTTAGGTGTTACCCGGCGGTGACAGTGCCCTGTGTTGTGTGTCTGTTACGGACAGGTGTTCCAGAGTTACGATAGGTGTTACCCGGCGGTGACAGTGCTGTGTTGTCTCTGTGACGGACAGGTGTTCCAGAGTTACGAGGAGGTTCTATCGGGCGGCGGCCGGCCGGCGGCGCTCAAGGCGTACACGTCGGTGACGCTGGCTCTGGTCTGGCTCTGGGTCACCCTGTTCCACCTGCCCTGCCTGCTCGTCTGGTCCAGGACGCGCAGGTCAGTAGTGACCGGCCGGCGGGCTGTGTATGCGGGGGAGGGGACACTGCCTGCTCCTCTGGTCCAGGGCGCGCACTGCGTAGGTCAGTGGGGAGCCGGTGGAATGTGCCGCGGCATCCACCGGTGTCATACGCGGACGGCCGGGTGATGGATGGAGTGAGTCTGCCGGTGTGCCACTCACGGGCCGTGTTGTGAACTCGGGAACGCCAGGGCGCGGGGCGGGCTGCACTGGAACAGGCTGGTCAAGTGGTCAGTGTACTGTGTCTCAGCTGTTACTGCTCAGGGGAGACTTCATCTGGTGCCAGTCGATTTCACGCGGATTGCAATTACAGAGTGGGAGAAGAATGACGATTTAGGTCTGATGATGTGCGTTCGGTATCGGACTGTACCTTTACTGATGACACAGCACTTCCCTGACCCCTGACCTGACCCCCGTTCTGCAGTGAGAGCACCCAGCTGCCGGAGGACCCCAGTCTGGCGGCGGCGCTGGTGCTCTGTAACCCCTGTGTGACCTGACCTGACCCCCGTTCTGCAGTGAGAGCTCCCAGCTGCCGGAGGATCCCAGTCTGGTGGCGGCGCTGGTGCTCTGTAACCCCTGTGTGACCTGACCTGACCCCCGTTCTGCAGTGAGAGCACCCAGCTGCCGGAGGACCCCAGTCTGGCGGCGGCGCTGGTGCTCTGTAACCCCTGTGTGACCTGACCTGACCCCCGTTCTGCAGTGAGAGCACCCAGCTGCCGGAGGATCCCAGTCTGGTGGCGGCGCTGGTGCTCTGTAACCCCTGTGTGACCTGACCTGACGCCTGTCTGCAGTGAGAGCACCCAGCTGCCGGAGGATCCCAGTCTGGTGGCGGCGCTGGTGCTCTGTAACCCCTGTGTGACCTGACCTGACGCCTGTCTGCAGTGAGAGCACCCAGCTGCCGGAGGATCCCAGTCTGGTGGCGGCGCTGGTGCTCTGTAACCCCTGTGTGACCTGACCTGACCCCCGTTCTGCAGTGAGAGCACCCAGCTGCCGGAGGACCCCAGTCTGGCGGCGGCGCTGGTGCTCTGTAACCCCTGTGTGACCTGACCTGACCCCCGTTCTGCAGTGAGAGCACCCAGCTGCCGGAGGACCCCAGTCTGGCGGCGGCGCTGGTGCTCTGTAACCCCTGTGTGACCTGACCTGACCCCCGTTCTGCAGTGAGAGCACCCAGCTGCCGGAGGATCCCAGTCTGGTGGCGGCGCTGGTGCTCTGTAACCCCTGTGTGACCTGACCTGACCCCCGTTCTGCAGTGAGAGCACCCAGCTGCCGGAGGATCCCAGTCTGGTGGCGGCGCTGGTGCTCTGTAACCCCTGTGTGACCTGACCTGACGCCTGTCTGCAGTGAGAGCACCCAGCTGCCGGAGGATCCCAGTCTGGTGGCGGCGCTGGTGCTCTGTAACCCCTGTGTGACCTGACCTGACCCCCGTTCTGCAGTGAGAGCACCCAGCTGCCGGAGGACCCCAGTCTGGCGGCGGCGCTGGTGCTCTGTAACCCCTGTGTGACCTGACCTGACCCCCGTTCTGCAGTGAGAGCTCCCAGCTGCCGGAGGATCCCAGTCTGGTGGCGGCGCTGGTGCTCTGTAACCCCTGTGTGACCTGACCTGACCCCCGTTCTGCAGTGAGAGCACCCAGCTGCCGGAGGACCCCAGTCTGGCGGCGGCGCTGGTGCTCTGTAACCCCTGTGTGACCTGACCTGACCCCCGTTCTGCAGTGAGAGCACCCAGCTGCCGGAGGATCCCAGTCTGGTGGCGGCGCTGGTGCTCTGTAACCCCTGTGTGACCTGACCTGACGCCTGTCTGCAGTGAGAGCACCCAGCTGCCGGAGGATCCCAGTCTGGTGGCGGCGCTGGTGCTCTGTAACCCCTGTGTGACCTGACCTGACCCCCGTTCTGCAGTGAGAGCTCCCAGCTGCCGGAGGATCCCAGTCTGGTGGCGGCGCTGGTGCTCTGTAACCCCTGTGTGACCTGACCTGACCCCCGTTCTGCAGTGAGAGCACCCAGCTGCCGGAGGATCCCAGTCTGGTGGCGGCGCTGGTGCTCTGTAACCCCTGTGTGACCTGACCTGACCCCCGTTCTGCAGTGAGAGCACCCAGCTGCCGGAGGACCCCAGTCTGGCGGCGGCGCTGGTGCTCTGTAACCCCTGTGTGACCTGACCTGACGCCTGTCTGCAGTGAGAGCACCCAGCTGCCGGAGGATCCCAGTCTGGTGGCGGCGCTGGTGCTCTGTAACAGCGGGGCAGTCCTCTGGCGAGACGCAGCGCCCCGTCTCGACCTGTGAGTAATGGATGGAGGATGGGGGGGGGGGAGATAGCTCCACCTGGGGATGAAACTGGGGAGGTGGGCTGATAGGAAGCTGATCATTGATCACTAATTCTAATCCGTTAACTTACTGTGTAATTTCTGGCCGATCTGTTGCCATGTAATGATTACTGTACTGCAGTCTAAGTCTGTTTACAGTGCTGGTACACAGCGTTGTGGCCACTGTGGTCAAAACGGAAGCCGTGGTCTGTGGCCTCTATGATCTCTGGGTCTTGTCTCTGGTCTCTGACCCTGGTCTGTGTTCTGTAGTCTATGTATGGTCTGTTGTGTTGTATGTGGTCTGTGGACTGTGAGACTGTGACTGGTCCCTACGTGACCGTGCTCTGGCCGCTGTGGTCTGTGGTCTGACCGTGGTCTGTACGTTCACAGAGCCGGGTACCGCGCTGTGGCCGCTGTGGTCTGTGGTCTGGTCTCTGACCGTGGTCTGTATGCTCCTAGGGCCGGTTACCGGGCGGTGGCCGCTGTGGTCTGGTCTGACCGTGGTCTGTACGTTCACAGAGCCGGTTACCGGTCGGTGGCCGCTGTGGTCTCTGGTCTGTGGTCTGGTCTGACCGTGGTCTGTACGTTCACAGAGCTGGTTACCGGGCGGTGGCCGCTGTGGTCTCTGGTCTGTGGTCTGGTCTGACCGTGGTCTGTACGTTCACAGAGCTGGTTACCGGGCGGTGGCCGCTGTGGTCTCTGGGTCTCTGGTCTGTGGTCTGGTCTCTGACTGTTGTCTGTATGCTCCTAGGGCCGGTTACCGAGCGGTGGCCGCTGTGGTCTGTGGTCTGACTATGGTCTGTATGCTCCTAGGGCCGGTTACCGCGCTGTGGCCGCTGTGGTGCACACGGCCGCCGTGGCCGTCTACCTGTTCGGTCTGCTGAACGTATACCGGGCCGGCTGGCTGGCGGCCGCCGCCGTCCTGGCCGTGGCCGTCCACCAGCTGACGGCGCCCGTCAGAGAGATACCGGCCGAGCCGGACACCGGGGCAGAGCAGGAGGCGCCGGAGGGAGAGCAGGAGGCGCCGGAGGGAGAGCAGACTCAGGAGCAGGAGGCAGAGCTGCAGCAGCAGGACGGTCAGTGGGGTCAGGAGCGGCTGAGCGGTGGGAGTCCAGCCCAATGAGGGAGGAGGGGTGCCCTGTGGATGCAACAGTCGGTTGTTATTTGTTTAGGATGATAACCCAGTAGTGGAGACCATCAGTCGCCGACCAACCTCCCTGTACTCTTCAGAAAAGTCGGGCCTCTGTTCACTTGTCAGTTGTGTTCCAAAGAAACTGTGTTCTAAAGATGTTTTGTTCTTACGATGCTGTGTTCTATAGATGTTGTGTCTCAGTGCTCTAATTATCGTGTGCTCCAGTCTGGAGGTACTCCCCGTGTCTCAGTGCTCCTGACGCCGCCCCCTGCCCCAGACGCGGCCGGCGGTGACGGCGACTCCGGCCCGGAGGACGCCGCTGACGAGCAGCCGTGTCCGGCCGACTCTGCCGACTCTGCTGACTCGGCTCCGGCCGGCGGACCGGGCGGGGACGGGGTGCGGCGCCGCTGACTGGCGCGACTCCAACCTGCCGCCGACCCAGGCGGGGAGCGGTGAGCTGCCCCTGACCGGGCGGGGAGCTGTCCCTCACCCAGGCGGTGAGCTGTCCTTCACCCAGGCGGCGCAGCTACCCAGTCCCTTACTGCGGTCCGGCCGAGTATAGCCCCGCCCTGTCCCATATCACAGCCATGTGGAGCGCTGCCCGGGTCTGCGCTGTTTGTTTGTACCCACTGATGCGCCGTGTGTGTGTGTGTGTGTGCGTGTGTTACTTAGTAGTGATTGCCGTGTGATCTGTGCACGCCCGCCGGTCCAGTCAGCCGTCTGTGATCAGATCCAACCAGAGCTAATGGGTGCGAGGTGGGGCCGGCGGCAGCTGATCCGTCGTTAGATGTGCCGTGTCGTTAGTACACCCACCCCGTGTTGAGGCACATATCTATCATTGCTGAGCCCTCGGGCGGCACCCAGGAGCGGACTGGCGGACACTCTGCTGTGGGGCCGAGATGCCCCGCCGTCCTGGTGAGCGCGAGTCGTGAGCGACGGGCGGTAGCCCGTATAGTCGACTACAGAATGATGTTCCACTCCTCAGAAGCTATCAGTTGACCGGAGCGCTAAGTTGTGCCGTTTATCACGCAATTCAGCGTGTCAATTGTGAGCGTTGGGACAAAGCTATAATTTATGAACTCAGCCCGTGTGATGCGGCACAGCCTACCACTCCAGGCAAATAATTGCCTGCGAAAAGTGGAACATCATTCTGTAGTCGACTATACATTACAATTTCCCCAAAGACACAACGTCGGTAACAAATGTTGGTAACAAACGCCTGATGGCAACAATCATAGTATTACAATCTCGCCCCCGCGGTATCACACAATATGACAGACTGTATCACCTGTTTGTTATATGTTGGCCGATGATGGGGTTTCAGTCCTAGTGATCCCTTTGTGTTCGATCAATACACATATCAGACCCGAACCCCAGCAATCAGCGTGTGGTGACTGGGGTGTGACGCGCCACTCCGTGAGAGGACAGGACGACACGATGGGACGAGAATGGGACGATAAGACGGTAATGGGACGGGGAATGGTCTGATTTGGTGGGGATGGGATTGGGGGTGGGACAATGGGACGGGAATGTTTGGAGGGACGTGATGGGACAGGGCCTGGGGAGTAGGGTCAGCAGTCCCACCAACAGGGTAATTTGGCACGGCAGTCTGGTCCGCCGCTCCCTCAGGACTGCGCCGGACTGGACTGAAGCGGAGTGTACTGGAATGAACTGGATCGGGCTCCACTGGGTTGGACTGTGAAGCGGACTGGGCACTGAAACATATCACACGCAGCCCCAACTACCGCTAACGCCATCATACAGCGGTGGGACGACACAGCGACTGTAGCCAGCAATCGCAGCAACCACAGAGACCCCTCCTCTGGCGACCACAGCGACCGTATCACCCCCCTCCCCTTGGCGACCACAGCGACTGTATCACCCCCCTTCCTGGCGACCACAGCGACTGTATACCCCCCCCCCCCCTGCCGACCACAGCGACTGTATACCCCCCCCCCCTGCCGACCACAGGCGACCGCAGTGGGTGGGCCACACAGCGCAAACTTTCATCTTGTCTATCGTAACAAGCCATAAAGCGATATCACCATAAAGCAAAGCTAAATAAAGCAGCACGCGTCAATTGCTGAGCTCAACATCAGCTCATTCCCAATCCTACAAGCCACGCCTGTTCACAATCTTAGCAAATCCACTACCTCTAGACCTCCAGTCGGCAGCCAGGAGACACCCGTAGTACGCGGTACGCGGGACGCTTTACCCTGGCGCCGTCTACGTAAACCACCATTATCAGTTACCTACCACAATCAACATCACAGTTTGTAAAACGGACAGCCCAAGCACCGCGCTGCGAGGGCGAACACCGCGCGTACGGCACGCTGACAGATGAGTTCCGCGCACCGTACCGTACTTGTAACGAACGACGGCTGTCGAGTGTGCAGACTACACAGTGGGTCAGTCTCCGAGCGACCGGCAGTTCTCTGGGCCGGGCTCGGAGGCACCTCACAGCGGCAGCGACCACCGCTCGTGTGTGTGTGTGTGTGTGTGTGTCGGGGGAACTACCGGTCGGCGTTGGAGACCTTGGTGTCGGGCGCCAGGCCGGGGCCCGGCTCGGCCACCAGTCCCAGGTACGGGTGCAGCTGCAGCACCAGCGGCGGGTGGTGGAAAAAGCCGGCCGGCTGGTCGCGCCGCTCTGCTGAGCCGATGCCGATGATGGTTTGCAGCCGGACGCGGCCGCCGGACGCCGGCAGACCCGTCACACGCCACGAGCTGGCGCCCGACCGGCAGTTGTTCTCCAACGCAAACGACTGAGAGGGCAGAGGAGGGCGCGTCACTGAGCAGTGCTGGACGGGTCCCGGCCAGCTACAGAATGGATTACACTGCTGGCATTGCTGCTAAAACGATCGACCCTCGTGCCCCTCCCATCTATTTGGAACCCGCAGTTTCGCGGTGACTCTGACTCACCCCGCACCCGGCGCCGGTGCCTCTGACTCGCCCTCCCGCGGTGACTCTGTCTCGCCAGGCGGCGGTGACTCTGACTCATCCAGCGCCGGTGACTAACTCGCCTGAGTCGCCATGCCGGGGTGACTCTGACTCATCAGACCGGGTGATTTTGACTCACGCTGCCGGGGTGACTGACTCACCCTGCCGGTTTGACTCTGCCTCACCCTGCCGGGTGCCCCTGACTCACCAGGCCGCGGTGGCCGTCCGGGTGTGGCAGCACCTTCCAGACGTAGTAGGGCGTGCACGGGTCGAGGCGCAGGGTGAGCAGCAGCTCCGGCTCGCTGTCCCACACGTAGTTGGAGCACCGGATGCCCAGCCGCAGGTTCAGCTTCTGCCGGAGGGGAGGGGGAGGGGTACAGAGGTCAGAGGGGTCACAGAGGGTCATAACTAAGGGGTCGCATTTAGCAGAGAGATACCACAGGTCATTCACAATCAGCTATACAGAAGTCAGCGGGTCTCAGAGAAAGCACGATAGAAGTCACAGCTGGAGAGAGGACTCCCTGCTGCAGAGGAGAGGACCCCTGGAGGGGACTCCAGGGGGCCAGCGGGGCCAGAGTGGCCACTGGGAGGCCACGTTGTTATAGAAATCACGGGCAGTGCAGATGGATCAGACAAGATCGTCATATATTTGGAGAAATCACGAACGTTACGGCCGTGGATGATACGGCCGCACAGAAGGTTACCATTCGTTAAGCCACAGTTATGGCCAGAGGGCCGCCACAGAGGGCTGTGATAAACAGGTCAGTGATACGGTTACGGACGGCAGACAGCGGCCAGCCGTCTGTCCCGGCCCCCGCGGACGCTCGGCGCGGCGCGGCGGGCGTCTGCCGGGTGTCCGTCCGTACCTCCAGCGTGGTGTTGAGCTCGCAGTGTTCGTCCAGCGCCGTGCGGTGGTCGGCCGGGTCCTGCAGACTGCGGTGCTCCGCCATCGACAGCTCCATGATGGGGTGTTGCTGAATCTGGCACACGAGTGGTACATGGGAGTCACACGGGGGTCGGGGAGGGTGCACGGGGCCAGTGTATCAAAGGCTGCGTTAGAGCAGCTACGGGAACGCTTGAAGCGGCCGAAATACACAGAAAGAAGAACGAGGGAAACACAGGCTGACAGCTGTCATGTACCGCTATACTAAAAAGGGACGAACTGGACGGTCTATCTATCTGCAGAGTCTATCCCCCCCCCCAGCTAACAGATACTCTATAAAATACCTGACCTCAGAAGCAGTTATGTAAGCAGGGTCAGCGCCTGACCTGGTCGGCGGCCGGCCCGCCGTCAGTGATGGAGCCCAGCGCGCGCAGTGTCTGTACGCCCATCTCCTGAACGGGGATGTCGCGCTCAATGTTGGCCAGCAGACAGCGCATGAACTTGCTGTCGTCCATCGCCTCGTGGCCCATCTGGAGTAGGGGGGAGGGGAGGGGTCAGTGGGTGAGCTGGGCTGATTCACTCCATTCATCCCCGTCTATGGTCCGCTCTGTTGGTCAGGTCAGAGTCCGTTCTACCTCCCGTTTCTGGTCTGAGTCTGTCGAGGTCCCCGGCCTGGAGCGGGTCCTTGGTCTCCGTTCCAGCGCGTTGGTCCTTCGGTATTTAGTCCAGCATCTAGCATGCTCCCCGCTCCATAATCGAGTCTGTCCGTCCATCTGTCGGTCCGCCTGTCCGTCTGCCAGTCCGCCCGCCCTGGTCTCCAGTCCTCTCAGTATCGGCTCCGTCCGTCCGCCCGTCCGTCCGTACCTGTGTGGAGAACAGGCGGACCACGTTGGCGGCCGAGCGGGGCGGCTGGCCGGCCGGCGCGCCCGGAGCGCCCGCCGCCGCCGCCGCCGCCTCGGCCGTGGCGCAGGCGTCGTTCATGGTGCGGCACATGTCGCCGCAGATAAGCAGCTGTTTGGGCGAGGTGCGCTGCAGGCGGTCCTCGATGTCGTCCAGCATCGAGAGACATCTGTCGGAGGGATGGCGAACTAACGTCAGAGACACCTGTCGGAGGGATGGCGAACTAACGTCAGAGACACCTGTCGGAGGGATGGGAAACTAACGTCAGAGACACCTGTTAGCGGGACGGGGAACTTTAGTAAGAGACATCTGCTAGATTACGTGACAAGAGATCGTAAGACAAAAGATCGTATGGAAAAAGAGCGTACGAAAATGATCGTAAGATAAAGATCGTATGTTGTAAAAGATCGTACGGTAAAAAGATCGTAAGCAAAAGATCGTAAAGCAATTGATCGTATGCAAAAGATCGTACGAAAATGATCGTAAGATAAAGATCGTATGTTGTAAAAGATCGTACGACAAAAAGATCGTAAGCAAAAGATCGTAAAGCAATTGATCGTATGAAAAAGATCGTAGGAAAATGATCGTAAGATAAATATCGTATGTCGCAAAAGATCGCACGACCAAGGATCGTAAGCAAAAGGTCGTAAAGCAATGGATCGTACAAAAAAGATGGTAGGAAGATGATAGTAAGATGATCGTATGTTGTAAAAGATCGTTCGACAAAAGATCGTAACGTTACGTTCGTAAAGTAAATAATCGTATAGAATAGTGTTGTTACGAGCGAGCGAGCGCAGCGAGCGAAGCGAAGTCTTTTGAATATAACGGGAAAATCTCAGTATGAGCAGCCCGGCCCGGCCCGGCCCGGCCTGTAACGCTTTTGAGAGGCTTATATCTCAGCAACCGCTGAACCGATTCGCCTGCGGTCTTTTTTGCTGGGTAGCCCCATCCCTTCTTCCCCGTAATTGACTACTTTTGATACATCTCAGTGGCCGTCGTGGCACGTGCCACGTGAGAAGTCAAGGGTGTTCAAGCAGTTTTGCAAAAGTAATGATTTTGAGAGGCCCATATCTCAGCAGCGGCTTGAGCGATGTCTTGCGGTAATTTTTATAGGGTAGCTGCATCCCTTCTACCAAAGGTCGGATACCCTTGATCTATGTGAGTGACCCCCAATGCACGTGCAAAATACAAAAAGAAGATGTGCCAAATTTGTTCCCATTTTAGTAACTCGGTAATTACTGGGGCGATTTCGAACCAATGATGGACAATTGACATCTTTAACCGGCCTTCGATAACAATGACTCCTATAACTAGGATTGGATTGAAACTAGGCTCCAATAACTAGGAGACAGGGATGCGGAGCCGGAGCCGGAGCCGGAGCCGCCGGAGCCGGCATATTTTGCCCGGAGCCGGAGCCGGAGCCGTGAAACAATATAACCCGGAGCCGGAGCCGGAGCCGGAGCCGTCAAAAAGGGGGCGACTCCGGCTCCTTTTCTTACGAGGAAACAATTATTTACCTATTTCGTTTTGACAGTACAAGGCGTAAAACAATGTGGTATTCAAAATAGCCTTGTTATACAAATACAGAAGCAACGTGTACCAATCCCATCGCCTTTTTTCTTCCACCCGTATTTAATTGATCGCATAGGGGATGTACTGAGTAGAAGCCGGAGCCGGAGCCGCCGGAGCCGGAGCCGCCGGAGCCGGATCATTTTACTCGGAGCCGGAGCCGGAGCCGGAGCCGCCATGACATTTCACCCGGAGCCGGAGCCGGAGCCGGAGCCGATTTTTTTCTCCGGAGCCGGAGCCGGAGCCGGAGCCGTCTGAAATTTCCACTGCTCCGCATCCCTGCTAGGAGAATTGCGATTTCGATAGTGATAACGCAATAAACATCTGTTGATGACTCGTAAAGCGATGACGATTCAATATGAAAATGTAACAGTGCGAAGGAAAAAGTATTTTTGACGCCGTTTACATCAGCCGCTTAAAGCCCTCCCACCTTCAAAAAAGTTTATGAATTGGCATGAAAGTGATGTCGCTCGGTTCAGAAAGAGCGAAAACGAATATCTACCAAACTGCACCAAAAAATATTCACCGGTTTTCAAGATCTTAGACTTTTACTTTTGTTTACTTTTTGGGATCTCCGCTGTTCCTAGCGACTTTATTTGGAAGCAATAGTTTGGCAGCTGAAAGTGCGGCACTTGTTGCGCGCAAAGCAGCATATACCACCGCGCGCTACAAAACGTTTTAGTCAAACATTTAAAAATCGTTAGATATCTGCGCTGACGTCACACATTCAGAGGGGTTTTCCTATGCATTAGCCCCTCTGAATCAAAATGCTGCAATTTTGAAATTCATTATTTCCTATTTAAAGGGATTATCCCACCTTCTAAAATGTTGTTAAAACCAGTTAAATTGTGCCCGACTTTATAGATTGGATGACCAGGAACACGGTTCTGGCATTTATTTTTCATTAAATATCTTAGGTTTCCCATATTCCAAACACAAACTTTCAAATATGTGACGTCACAGCCCAAAATTAACTCCTTCCCCAGGCCACATTACTGTCATAAAGCTGATTCTTTTTACTCTGTAGGCACCACAACAAAGTTCAGACCAGGTTTTAAGCGATTTTTCAACGAACAAACCCATTTAAATCAGAATGACTAAACGAGGTGACGTCACACTAACGGTCGCTCCATGTTGAAGATAGGGCCTTGTACAAGGCCCATTTTCAAATAAAGGGAACGAATTTCTTCGACACCAAGAGGCCGCGGGGGTTGCAACCTAGATAGATAGTGGTTTCTGAACCTCGCCGCAAATTTGGCTATCTCAACTCAAACCCCATGTTAAAGGGACCCTCCCACCTTCAAAAAAGTCAATGAATTGGCATGAAAGTGATGTCGCTCGGTTCAGAAAGAGCGAAAACCAATATCTACCAAATTTCATCGAAAAATATTCACCGGTTTTCAAGATATTAGACTTTTACTTTTGTTTACTTTTTGGGATCTCCGCTGTTTCTAGCGACTTTATTTTAGAAGTGCGGCGTTTGCGGCAGATGTTGCGCGCAAATAGCATATACCACCGCGTGCTACAAAACGTTTTAGTCAAACATTTAAAAATCGTTAGATATTTGCGCTGACGTCACACATTCAGAGGGGTATTCCTAAGCATTAGCCCCTCTGAATCAAAATGCTGCAATTTTGAAATTCAATATTTCCGATTTAAGGCATTTCTCGATGTTGTGAGTGCCGAAACCGGTAATTGTGAGCCAGGGACCCCATTTTGGCTATCTCAACTCAAATCTAATGTTAAGGTGGGAGGGTCCCTTTAAAGGTGGGATAGTCCCTTTAAGGCATTTCTCGATGTTGTGAGTGCCGAAACCGGTAATTGTGAGCCAGGGACCCCATTTTGGCTATCTCAACTCAAATCTAATGTTAAGGTGGGAGGGTCCCTTTAAGCAACATTTTAACCTTCCAGGCGGTGGGGGTGGGGGGGGGGAACATGGGTTTAGTTGTATTCACTTCAAATAGGTAGGTACATGAAAACGGCAGCACATACATTCATTTATTCGGCACATATACAACGCGTTGCTTTTAGGTGTCATTGAGCCAGCTAAGCTCTGAAATAACATCAATGTATGGTCGAGCTTACGACGGCCACTTACTACGCGAACACAGAAATTGATAAGCTTTGTATGCGCTGGAGTTGGGCTGCACCATGTGAATACCATATTTTGACTGTACGATCTTTATCTCATACAATCATTTGGCGTACGATCATTTTCCTTGACGATCTTTAGCGAATACGATCTTTTGTCCATACGAGCATTATGTCGTACGATCTTTATCCATTACGACTTTTTGGCATACGATCATTTTCCTTGACGATCTTTAGCGAATACGATCTTTTGTCCATACGATCATTATGTCGTACGATCTTTATCCATTACGACTTTTTGGCATACGATCATTTTCCTTGACGATCTTTAGCGAATACGATCTTTTGTCCATACGAGCATTATGTCGTACGATCTTTATCCATTACGATATTTTGCATACGATCAACTGCCTACGATCTTCTGCCATACGATCTTCTGCTTTACGATCTTTTGTCCGGTTACCATCTGCTAGCCGGGTCGGGGAACTAACGTCAGAGACATCTGTTAGCGGTCAGGGAACTAACGTCAGAGACATCTGTCGGCGGAGAAGAGGGCTAAATAAAACTGATATCTATCGATAGTAACTGCTCCGTTCCGTCGTTTCCATCCTCAGGATACTGAAATCCTTCTCCTCCACGCCGCAACCCGCACTCCGGGCTGGACAGGCACCTTTATCCCATGCGGGCTGCTCCCTTGGAGCGTCACCGCTGCTCCCGAGGCAGTACCTGTTGGGGTGCACGCCTGTGCCGCCGTGCCGCTGTCCCGTACCTGCTGGGGTGCACGCCGGTGCCGCTGTCCCGTACCTGCTGGGGTGGACGCCGGTGCCGCCGTCCCGTACCTGCTGGGGTGCACGCCGGTGCCGCTGTCCAGCGCCGGGTGGTCCACGGGCGCCAGGTAGTCCCGCCGCTGGTAGGTGAACCCATGTCCAGCCACCAGCACGGCCAGGTAGGCGTCCGGCGCCGCCACGCGGGCAAAGTACTCCACCGCGCGCCGCGAGCGCTCGGTGGTCAGGTCCATGGCGACCAGAGTGCCGAACCCGAGCCGGCGCATGGCCGCCTCAAAGTCGGCCACGTCCTGCCCCACCTGGGGAGGGGAGAGGGGGGGGGGGGGCGCTCAGAGGTGGGCACTCGGCGCCGCCGTCTCCGCTCGAGCTCGAGGTAACCGGACAAAAGATCGTAAAGCAGAAGATCGTATGGCAGAAGATCGTAGGCAGTTGATCGTATGCAAAATATCTAATGGATAAAGATCGTACGACATTATGATCGTATGGACAAAAGATCGTATTCGCTAAAGATCGTCAAGGAAAATGATCGTATGCTAAAAAGTCGTAATGGATAAAGATCGTACGACATAATGATCGTATGGACAAAAGATCGTATTCGCTAAAGATCGTCAAGGAAAATGATCGTATGCCAAAAAGTCGTAATGGATAAAGATCGTACGACATAATGCTCGTATGTACAAAAGATCGTATTCGCTAAAGATCGTCAAGACGCCAAATGATCGTATGAGATAAAGATCGTACAGTCAAAAGATGGTATTCACATGGTGCAGCCCAACTCCAGCGCATACAAAGCTTATCAATTTGTGTTCACGTAGTAAGTGGCCGTCGTAAGCTCGACCATAGATTGATGTTATTTCAGAGCTTAGATGGCTCAATGACACCTTAAAGCAACGCGTTGTATATGTGCCGAATAAATGAATGTATGTGCTGCCGTTTTCATGTACCTATTTGAAGTGAATACAACTAAACCCATGTTCCCCCCCCCCCCCCCCCCCCCCCACCGTCTGGAAGGTTAAAATGTTGCTTAAGCGGCTGAAGTAAACGGCGTTAAAAATAATTTTTCCTTCGCACTGTTACATTTTCATATTGAATCGTCATCGCTTTACGAGTCATCAACAGATGTTTATCGCGTTATCACTATCGAAGTCGCAATTCTCCTAGTTATAGGATCCTAGTTTCAATCCAATCCTAGTTATAGGAGTCATTGTTATCGAAGGCCGGTTAAAGATGTCAATTGTCAATCATTGGTTCGAAATCGCCCCAGTAATTACCGAGGTACTGAAATGGGAACAAATTTGGCACCTCTTCTTTTTGTATTTTGCACGTGCATTGGGGGTCACTCACATAGCTCAAGGGTATCCGACCTTTGATAGAAGGGATGCAGCTACCCTATAAAAATTACCGCAAGACAATCGCTCAAGCCGCTGCTGAGATATGGGCCTCTCAAAATCATTACTTTTGCAAAACTGCTTGAACACCCTTGACTTCTCACGTGGCACGTGCCACGACGGCCACTGAGATATATCAGAAGTAGTCAATTGCGGGGAAGAAGGGATGGGGCTACCCAGCAAAAAAGACCGCAGGCCAATCGGTTCAGCGGTTGCTGAGATATAAGCCTCTCAAAAGCGTTACAGGCCGGGCCGGGCCGCTCATACTGAGATTTTCCCGTTATATTCAAAAGACTTCGCTTCGCTCGCTACGCTCGCTCGCTCGTAACAACACCATTCTATACGAATATTTACTTTACGAACGTAACGTTACGATCTTTTGTCGAACGATCTTTTACAACATACTATCTTTATCTTACGATCATTTTCCTACGATCTTTTTCATACGATCAATTGCTTTACGATCTTTTGCTTACGATCTTTTTGTCATACGATCTTTTACAACATACGATCTTTATCTTACGATCATTTTCGTACGATCTTTTGCATACGATCAATTGCTTTACGATCTTTTGCTTACGATCTTTTTACCGTACGATCTTTTACAACATACGATCTTTATCTTACGATCATTTTCGTACGATCTTTTTCCTACGATCTTTTGTCTTACGATCTTTTGTCACGTAATCCCGCTCGATCAGCCCGCTCTCAGTAACGGCCACGGCCGCTAGTCGGTCGGTAGGGGTGCGTCCTGGTACGCGATACATTCGCACCTCCTATGTACCAGGCTAACTCTTAGATCTCCTCCAGGAATTAACAACTGAGCAGTTCCCCCGGGTTTCGGAACCTCCTGGAGTTCCCCGGGTTTCGGTACGTACCTCCTGGGGTTCCCCCGGGTTTCGGTACGTGCCACCTGGAGTCCCCCGGGTTTCGGTACGTACCTCCTGGAGTTTCTCCAGGTGATGGTAGTTGGAGTTTCCAATGATGAGCGCCATTTTGGAGTGCGCCGGGTACACGACTCTGAACCGGGCCGGCAGACTCTGGGTGAAACTGTCAGACAGCGGACACAGATCAGAACAGGAAGCGACTGAGAACAGACAGCGGACACATGGCTCAGAACAGACAGCGGACAAACCGCTCAGAACGACAGTGGGTGGAAACAAACTGTTTATATGCAGGCTGCATATAGCTGAATAATGCAGCATTTTATAGCTGTATAATGCAGCTATAAAATAAATCAGCTTATCACGTCATATGTATTACGACGCAGACAACATAGGAGGATATTCTCACGAAACAAACCCCTGATGAATCCACCCCCGCCGCTCAGCCGCGTCCCACCTGTTCTCGAAGTCTCCCTCGGCGAGGAGCTCGCAGGTGACGCCGCAGTGGCGGCGCACGTCGCGCTCAGAGGGGGTCAGCCGCACCTCTGAGGTAACCAGACCGGCGGCCGGCTGCGGCTCCGTCATCACCTGACTGCAGGGAACCACCTCGTCCCGGCCAGAGTCGGCGTCCAGCACAGAGTGGCGCCACACCACCTGACGGCGGCGGGCCAGGGGGTCAGAACGGCACTGCACAGCACAGCACAGCACAGCATGCATGGCACAGCACAGCACGGCATGGCACAACACAGTACAGGCTACAGCATAGCATGGCACCACAACACAGCACGGCTCCTGAACGCCACAGCCCGGCGGAAAGCGCTCTCGCCGCCGTGGCCGTGAGCCCGTACCGAGTCCCCAGTCCCGCCCCGGGTCGGGGAGGGCCTCACCTTGACCTGTCTGCGGCAGAAGGCCTTGCAGCGCAGTCTGAGCGGCCGGCCGATGGGGTGGCAGCGCTGTGCCGTCTGCGGGTGTTCGATCACCACCGGGCGCGAGTCGAACTCCACACGGAACGGCTCCGAGTGGACCTGGGAACGGAGACGGACATAGAGTCAAACACGGGACGGAGACAGACAGAGACATGGAACAGAGACAGACAGAGACACGGAACGGGTCCGAGTGGACCTGGGAGCGGAGACGGACAGAGAGTCAAACACGGAACAGAGACAGACAGAGACACGGGACGGGTCCGAGTGGACCTGCGGGGGAGACACACGGCAAGACAGACTGTTAGACAAAACCTGAAACACGTATCAATGGGCGAGGTTCTCATATCCCAAACAGACAAGGATAACCCCGCATGCTTATTGCCAGTTTTAGGAAATGCTGAATAATGAGCATGTTGTCCTGACCTCTTCCTCGCCGGGCGCACCCCTTCCCCCCTTCCCTCGGGCGCTCAATCCCCCCGCCGGGCGCTCACTTCCCCTGCCGGGCGCTCATCCCCCCTCGGGCGTTCACCTCCCCCCACCGGGCGCTCAGCCCCCCGCCCCCCCCCCCCCCCCCCGCCGGTCGCTCACCTCCCCGACGGCGTTTTGGGCCACGCAGACATAGGTGCCGCCGAGGGCTCCCGGCCCCGGCAGTAGGGTCAGCGTGTCGCCGTCGGCGCCGTCCACCGGCTGGTGGTCGCGCAACCAGCGCAGCCGCGGCTCGGGCCAGCCGGTCCAGCGCACCTGCAGCTGCAGCGGCCGCTCGCCGCTGGCCGAGACCGAGCCGTCCGCACCCAGCACGCCGCCCGTCACGTCCGTCACCCGGCGCTCCAGCGGGCGCGGCGGCGCCTGGCGCGGCTCCACCGTCACGGCGCCGGCCGACACGGCGCCGCCGGCCGCGTCCCGCACCTGGCAGCAGTACTGGCCGGCGTCGGCGGCCGAGAACGGCTGCACGCAGAGCCGCGCCCGCTCGCCGCCGGCCTCGGGCGGCACCGGCCGGCCGTCGCGCCGCCACTGGAAGCTGGGCGGCGGCCACGCCTCAGCCTCGCAGAGCAGCTCCAGCCGGCCGCCGATCGGCGCCCACACGCAGGCCGAGTTGGTCTCGGAGAGGGGCCGGACACGCAGCGGCTGGGGCGGCCGCAGCAGGTCGGCGGCTGCAGACGCTGCCCCATCCAAGGACTCCAGAAGCATGAAAGCCTCGTGAACTGTCAGGGGTCCATTCAACAGGGTGATCCGTTCCAGGAGGAAGCGAGATGGGGAGGGCTGGTGTGCTGCGACGGCAAGGTCTGTCGGCGACAGCAGACTGCTGTATTCATCAGCAATCTCGCCCAGAGCTCGCCAAGCATTATTGGTATCCAAAGCCAACAGCAGCTCTCTGTACCGTGGATGCTCTTCTAGGAGTTCCATTGGGTCAACGACTCAACTCCCCAGCAGATTGACGGCAAACTTCGACATAATGCTGTCAACAAACAAAAATAGAATGTCAATACAAGGTTCTCAAGCAACAAACTACAAGGAAGACATACAGCTCCAGCTGCAACTAGGTACACAGACTGCTGCAAGATGGGCTGGAGATATAGGGCTCACACAATTAACATTTAGGGTTCCTTCATTCTCCTTCCCAACCTTTCTTTCCTTTACCTTTCTGGCAAAAGGAACCCAACCAGGTGAGTTAAGCAGGACCCTGTTTCACCATCCCAACAGTGCGCGCACTGCAGCACGCTGGTGAGGCATTCAAGACAATTTAGGCTCAACACTTCAGCATTGCAAGGCATTCGGGTTTGTTATGTTTCCATGGAAACCCAACGCGCCAAAGCGCACTGCGGTGGTTTACCTTGAAGCACCACCCAGGAAGATCAAGAGCACCACCCAGGAAGATCAAGATGCCCATTACAAAATTCGATTTTGTGCTCATTCTTGATCATAGAATAAAAAACATATTACACCACGTCAGAGATCATGTAATAGTGAATCCTCCTTCTGCATCCTTTAAATAACTGAAGAAGTTTGAGTTCACAAAACAAACACAAACATATGAAAAGATGGGACGCATCCCAATAAAAGCACTACACATCCCCCCCAATTTGAAAATACCACACTACGTCATCAAGACCAATCAAGACTGTCTGCAAGATTTCAAGATTCTGTAAGGATCTTGATCAAGACCAAGGCTATGTCATATGTCATCAAGGTTCCATGACAACTCCAATGTCAGTCCAACGTCACCCCAACGTTGGCTGGACCTCAGCAATTGATCTCGGTCCCGACGTCGGCTGGACTCTGCTGGACGTCGGTACATGCGGGCATATCCGGCATCCAGCTGACGTCGTGCCGAGGTTGGACCGACGTTGGCATGCCGAAGCCGAGATGCCGACGTCACCCCGAGGCCCGACGTCGGGCCGACGTTGGCATGTTTACTGGGTTATCACTGGTTAGTGGTTCAGTTGTCATACTGGTTCAGTTGTCACTGGTTCAGTTGTCACTGGTTCAGTTGTCTACTGGTTCAGTTGTCCACTGGTTCAGTTGTCCCTGGTTCAGTTGTTGCTGGTTCAGTTGTCACTGGTTCAGTTGTCGCTGGTTCAGTTGCCACTGGCTCAGTTGTCACTGGTTCAGTTGTCCCTGGTTCAGTTGTCCCTGGTTCAGTTTTACTGGTTCAGTTGTCACTGGTTCAGTTGTCTGCCTACCTTCATCAAAAGACCAAGAGTCGTACAGACTCTAATGCTGTGTTTTATTCTTGGCGCAGACGTGAAACACAAATGCTTTTTAAGCTGGTAAGAATGTGGGTAAGAACATGTGATTGATTGCATAGCTTCTTCTTCTTCGTGGATTAGGGCGCGTAGCCGTCAGGCTCAAGCGTCCAACCTTGATTGCATAGCACTCCACATAAATTGCAATTGAACACCAAATTTGTCTGTGTTGCGTTGTTGATGCCTCATATCACAAACTACATTTTTTTCGTTTTTTTATTTTTGAACAGTCTTTTTTTCGAAATTCAGCGTGAATTTTCGGATGTTGTGCTATGATTTCCCTTGTAATTACTATGTTTGAATTTTTAAAAGTATTTTAGGAGGAAACCTAAAAACAAAGAAAAACTTATAACATTGTTTTTGTTTGTTTACGTTTGATGACTGTGACCTTGATCTCACTGATTTCACTAGACACGAAGGACACGAACACCTATCTTGAGACGACCCACCGCGTTCCACCCAGGTTCCACCGCTAATATAATATCAATATTAATATAGCGTGGGCTGAATCAGAAGTCAACCGTCGTCCGTCAGTGGTGCAACAGTGTGATTTTTTTTCGGGTTTTAGCTTCATACCCAAGGCTTTGAAGAGAGATCAAAATGGAGTATGAAACAATTCGCTTTCTGAGCTGGATCAGCTTCCGCATAGTTGGAGCTCTATTATTTTACTATGTTTTTAGTGCTCTGGATATATTCTGTGGATCTCTAGCCATAATTTTAGCTGTCTTTCCAACAGTCATTATCTATTATCATATTCCACCACCACCAAAAACCAATGTCCAAAAGGTGTTTGCCAAACTTGACAAGATTACGGTTGGAGCCCATCGTGCTGGATGTCTCGACGCCCCAGAGAATAGCTTGGCTGCACTGTATAAGGTAAGTGCTACTTTATGCTGTTATTACCTTAATCTGTTGCATTTAGGTAGAAGTTACCTTTTTTTGAAAAATCAGTTAATATTTCAACTAGGTACTCCTGAGTGTTTATCTTTATACCATCTGTATTTTAGCTCATCCAGTGTTCTTTTGTTTTCAGGCAACTGAGCTGGGATGCAAGTTGATTGAGTTTGATCTCAGCTTCACTGCAGATGATCATGCTGTCGTGTTCCATGACTACACAGTGGATCGCATCTCTGACGGCAGCGGGGTCCTGGAAGAAATGAGCTGGGCAGATGTGAAGAAGCTTGACATCAATGCTAAAGATCCCAAAAGGTTAGGTTAGGGCTCACCTACTCATCCCTGTTTTCTTGGCTAGGGCTTACTCATATTGAGTTAATAAGAAACTTCTCTCTGTCAAGACTCAAGTGTCCAGCTGTTATTCTGAATGAAAATCATCAGTTTCATGTTCCTGTAGAAGTGTTTTCGCGGTGACTGGCCAGCACCGGCAGTTCTCTGATATCCCAGCTGAGAGGCAATTACTTATCCCACTGTGTCTCTGGCAGGTCTCAGTTTCCGGTCACCAGGGTCGCAGCTGAAGTAGCCTGACCTATCCCTCTGTGTCCCTGGCAGGTCTCAGTTTCCGGTCACCAGGGTCGCAGCTGAAGTAGCCTGACCTATCCCTCTGTGTCCCTGGCAGGTCTCAGTTTCCGGTCACCAGGGTCGCAGCTGAATTAACCTGACCTATCCCCCTGTGTCTCTGGCAGGTCTCAGTTCCCGGTGACCAGGGTTGCGCTGCTTAGTGAGATGGTCGAAGAATGCCTGAGACTGGACGTGCTGTTTATCATCGATATCAAGTGCTATGACATCAGGGTATGTTACAGCCTTCATACATATTTTAGTCCTTCTGACACTTCTGTATGAATATAGAATAACTATACTATAGTCACCTTCCCTCAAAGTTTGTTACCATGACTTCAATCAGTGTATGCCAGGTATTGCTGCTATTCTGCATTCTGTGCTGTTTCAGGCTGTGTCTGCCGTTCTGGCTCTATACGAGAAGTTCCCCAAGATGTATGAAATGGCCCTGATCTCTTCGTTCAACCCGCAGGTCGTCTATGAGGTGAGCAGATATGCAGTTTCTGTGCTCTGTTGCCCACTGAGTAGTGAGAACAGTAGGAATTGTCAGAGAAAGTGTATATGTTTAGGAGTTGAGAAAAGAAAAGGATGGGACTCTTCATTCAGTGGCGGTTTTGTGGTCATTAACGGGTAAGAGTTCGATAAATAATTTCCCGAGATTGGTCGATAAAGGCTCGTGTGTGATGCCGGCCCGTGTCCCGGCGTGTGAGCCCGCCACTGACAGCCGCTGCCCCCGGTCTGCCCAGATCCGGCGCCGACAGCCACAGGTGGTGGCCTGCCTGGCGTGGCGGCCCTACATCGCACGTACGCCTCCTACTCTAGCGCCAGGGGCCCAGCCAGCGGCGCTTCGACAACCGCTCCGGCACCTCGGAGGTGGGTCCACCCGTGCCGCTCCGACACGAGAGTCAATCCGTGCCGCTCCGACACGTGGTACGGGGGTCAACCGTGCCGCTCCGAACGGGACACGGGGGTCATCTGTGCCGCTCA